GACTAAAATACAACAAAAATCGCATACACGGGACAGTAGAAAAACCAAAAATACCAAAACCAAAAAAAACCAAAAAACCAAAACCAAAAAAAACAAAAAAAAAACCAAAACCAAAAAAACCCAAAAAAACCAAAACCAAAAAAACCAAAAATACCAAAAAAACCAATTTTCCGGGACTCTTGGGAAATCCCTATGAGGCTTCTCCAAGAGTCTTGGAAAATTATTTTTTTTGGTATTTTTGTTTTTTTTGGTTTTGGTTTTTTTTGTTTTTTTTTTTGGTTTTGGTATTTTTGGTTTTTTGGTTTTGGTATTTTGGCTTTTTGGTTCGCCTTCACGGTCACGAGGCAACAACTACGCATTTTTAAGTGTGCTTATGCTAATTGTGCTTTTCAGAAGTAGTATACAAGTGGTCTTTCGAGTGCTTCAGAACTATTTGTTTCGTTATTATGTAAGTAGAGCCGCTAGTGTTTAGTGCATCTCTTGGTTGTATTCAAGTGTAGTAGACCTTATTCAGCCATTACTTGGTGCTCTGGTAGCTCGGATAATATTTGCCTGGTAAATGCGATTAATTATCTAGAAGCAGCATTTGCAGTACTTGTCTTGAGAAAAAGCATTTATTGCTTAGAATTGTTTGCTTAAAAAGTGATTCCTACTCGTCCAGGAATACCCCAAAACCCTATAATCCAAACTTTACCAGAGATTCTCCTGAAAAGCTTGCGCTTTTGGATGTTTTTATGTATTTGTGAATTTGCTTGTGTCTGGCCTTCACTAAGTACTTTTCTAGGATTTTTGCCTGATTGTGCAAGTTGCGTTTTTCAGGCATAGTATATATGTGGTCTTTATTGAATACTTCAGACATCTTTGTTTCATCGTTATGTAAGTAGAACCGCTTCTATTTCCATTCTTGTGCATATTTAAGCTTGCTCATGCAAATTGTGCTTTTCAGACATAGTATATAAGTGGTCTTTAGTGAATACTTCAGCAATCTGTGTCTCATGGCTATGTAGGTAGAACCGTTTCCATTTCCGCAAGTGTTTATTTCGTATTTGGTTAAGTATGGTCCTTTAAATAGTATTCACTTGAGTCAAATTGGGCTATTTGCTTAAGAATTCCTCTCGTAGTTAAATTCGCATAGAATGAATACTTCAAAAAAATTGTTTCATGAATATGTACACATAAGGTGTTTCATTTGACTTTGCAGATAGTACTTCAATAATACTTTGCCTGGTATAAACACAACTGTTTCAATGCATTTGTTGCTCAACAAAGCACTATTTGCCCTTTAAACCACACTTTGCCATATGTTGGTTGAATATGGTGCTTCTTTCGTATTTTGGTTGAGTATGGTCCTTTAAATGGTATTCACTTGAGTCAAATTGGGTGGGCTATTTGCTTAGTAATTACTCTAGTAGCTAAATTCGCATAAAATGATTATTTCAAAAATGAGAACGATTCATGAATATGTAAACATAAGGTATTTCAGTGGACTTTTCAGAGAGCATACTTTGCCTAGTACAAACACAATTGTATAAATACAGTATTTGCACTTTAAACGCACACTTTGCCATTTTTTGGTTGAGAATGGTGTTTATTTCGTATCTTGGTTGAGTATGCTCCTTTAAATACAGTAGTATTCACTTGAGTCAAATTGGGCTCTTTGCTTAATAATTACTCTAGTAGCTAAATTCGCATAGAACCAAGAAAAATGTTTCACTATTTGATTAATACTTTGCCTCGTACAAACACAACTGTATAAATAAATTAGTTGCTCAACAAAACATTAATTGCCCTTGAAACGCACAATTTGCATAGAAAAACACTGATCTACACATCTAAAAACAGCATTGTCCGCTTCAGATTCAAAATGTAGATTCTTCCAATGCTTATTGTGGTCTGTGAGGTGGGTGTCCCAGTAACTGTCCTTCATTACCCGGTGATTAACTACGCGACTTTTGGGCCTTCTTTGTTGTTTTTTGTTAAAAAGGCCTAAAAAGGCCTGTTCGTGTGTTTACTGGGATTCAGTAGAAAGCAAGCGCATCTACGATCCCTTTTTCATTTTAGGACAGCGAGGGTACGAGCGTTTTCAAACTGAGATTTTCTTGGACATATGCCGTTGGTCACCTGTGCAAGCTTTGAGGGCACAATGCATCACTGCCTGTGCGCGTGCGTGTGCTTGATGTGCAATGCAGTTTTGTGGGGTCACGTTTTGCTTGACTTGCGTTTTTCCTTCATGTGCAGAAATTTTCTTGAACGGGTTGCCATCCCGGCTTGCAACGCAGTGCTCAAGTGTGAGCGCCAGAGAGTGCCATTTTGGCTCAAGCCATTTTGGCTCAAGTGCTCAAGTGTGAGCGCCAGAGAGTGAAAATTTTGTGTTGAGCCTCCGCTACTCCTGTAGGGGTGCCGTGCTAGAGGTTCGAGGTGCTAGTGGTCTCCCCTTAGGGGTCGTGCAAGCCGGGGGCCTGTGTGCTCTCGGTGGATGGACAGCACCTCGAGTTCAGGGGAGAGCTCCCTCAGCTGGGACTGGCCTCCCGTGCCTGCCTTTCAGGCGCCTGCCTTTGAGGCGCTCAGCATCAGGCCTCGCTCTTTCCACCTTGCTTCACTTGAGCGCAGCCTGGAGGCCCCCCCCAGTCTCTTCACGTACATTTTCGAGAGTTCTCTCTGCGGAGTGCTTGTCAGTTCCCGTGAAGGGTCCCGAGTCCCGAGTGCTCCTCTTGCTCCATCCTTCCAGTTGGCTTGCACTTGCTTGCTCCGGCCGACGGCCGCACGCGTGCGCCCGACAGCTTCTCCAGCTGTCTGCATAAGTAGCCCTTTACCCGCATGGCTCAGCCCCCTCGTGCCCCAGAGGGTTTGCTAGCTGGGGGTTTGGATCCTGGGTCCCTTCGTGTGCCTGAGGACAGCGACCGGCGGAGACCGGCAGAGGTGCCTGTTCAGGATTATGAGGCTCATTTGGCTGCCTGCGCTCGCAAGGTTAATAAGACGGGCTATTCTCGGTCTTGGGATTTTCGGTTGAGGCCTTCTTCAGTGCTCTTTACCGGTGTGGTTAAGTCACGAGGCATGTTCCCACCAGTGCCATCTCTTGTGCCTGTGATCACTCCAGTGACGCCAACCGTGGCTGCAGTCACGAAGATTGCGATTTCCAGGGTCCGTTTGGATGATTCTTGGGGTGCTCACCTTGAGAGGAGGCTTAGTGCTGCCATACAAAAGTGGGTTGCCTTAGTGGTTGAGGATCCTTTGTCTTTTGACGTCGGTAGGCGGTGTGCTGCTTTCGTGGGAAATGACGAGGCGATTTCTCAGGGCCTTCTGCACACTTTTTCGGGCAAATCGGCAGGTACCTTGCACAGCCGGGCTGGGCCTCTCATCAGGTTTGTTGCCTGGGCCAAGGCTCGCCAGTGCAAGCCCCTACCCTTCAGCGAGGCGCTTTTGTATGATTTTCTGCTTGAATCCGAGAGCACTTGTGCACCGTCATTCGGAAAGGCATTGATGTCTGCACTTGCATTTTGCAAATTTGTGCTGGGCGTTGAGAATGCTTCTGATGTTCTGAGCAGTGGTCGGTTTGGGGGCTTGGCTCGTTCGATGTTCCTGAACAAAAGGAAGCGACGACAGAAGCCACCCCTCACCGTCGATATGGTGAAGGCCCTTGAGAGATTGGTGATCTCCGAACGTGAAGGAGATATCGACAGGCTGTGTGCAGGGTTCTTCCTCGTTTGTGTTTACCTGCGAGCAAGGTATAGCGATGCCCAAGGTCTGAAGAATCTTGCAATCGACGAGCCTGAAGGTTTTGCTGGCCGCTTGACAGGATATTTTCAAGGGGAAGCTTCAAGGACAAAGACGAGTTTCTCGCTGGAAAGGAAGACGGCTCTGCTCCCGATGGTTGGGCCACTTTTCGGCTTGACTGCGGTTCCTTGGTTTAAGACATGGTTAGGTCTCCGCGAGGACATGGGCATCCCTGAAGGCGAGGACTTTCCTCTGCTGCCGAGTCGTAGGCTAGAAGGGGGTTGGGCTCCGATCCCACCTTCGGCTACGGTGGCCGCTGCATGGCTCCGGGGAATCCTTATCTCTCGAGGCTTCCCCGGGGCACGCAAGCTCGGAACTCACAGTTGCAAATGCACGTGTCTTTCTTGGCTGTCGAAGCACGGAGTTGATCCTCTGCACCGGCGTGTTTTGGGGTATCACAAGGCCCCGCAGGATGAGATGATGCACGTTTATGGGCGTGACAATGTTTCTCCAGCCCTGAGGTCGCTGGAGGCTGTCATCCAGGACATCAGGCAAGGCCTGTTTTTGCCGGACGTCACTCGGTCGGGTTACTTCCCGAACCAGCCGCAGAGGGAGCCTGGGCCTGAGTTCGTTGAGGAGCCATCAGAATCCGAAGTTTCGCTCGATGAAGAGGACAATGTGCAAGACTTGAGAGCGGAGGAAGCGGCCGCTGATCAGGTTGTGCCGCCTTGGGCTGAACTTGTGGTTCAGGATCCTGATGCTCTGGTTTATGTCCGTCACGTAACTTCAAGGAAGTTGCACCGCCTCGCTGACGAGAGTGGGAATCGGCTGAAGTGCGGAAAGGCGTGCACGCGAAAGTTCGAGAGGCTCAGTGAGAAACCAAGGTTCATGGCTGACATGTGCTTGAATTGTTTCAAGTGAGCCCGGCTCAACTGAGGGGCAGCCGGATCACTCGGCACATGGGTCGTGTCTTTGTGACGCAGCCGGATAGACTCGGCTATGCATTCACCGGTCCTCGCGGTGAAGTTTGATTATGTGAGCAGTTGCACCGGTGCTCGCGGTGCTTTGGTGTGCCGGTCCACTCGGATGAGCTGAAAGAGCTCAGGTTAACCGGGGCACGCGGTTTTGGAAGGAAGTCAACCATGACTTGAAAATGTGGCTGTACGGTGCTGTGATTCCGTAGATGTTGCGATTTGCATACGACAACGCCTTGTGGTTGCGAGTGATAACTTGAGCATACAGTTTTGGCTGAAGGATCGTGTAGTGCACTTGCAGGACCATTCGCCATGGCCATCACCGAGAGCAAGGCAAACTTTTCTTCCAGGGCGACGGCCTTGGGGTTGGCCGCTGACGTTTTGAAGAAGTTCACTGATGCCGGCGTTGATTGCATGAGCAAATTTGCCTTCATTAGTGCGTTCGTGCCTGGCAACACTGACGAGTCCCCTTTTACTGATGCAGTTGCTGGGGTTTTGGGGCGCGCTGCTAATGTGGCAGAGTTGAGCGTGCTGCGCAGGCTTCTTCATGAGAGCTACAACCTCACTGTCTCAGAGCTTCAGGTGCAGGTTGAAAGAACGGAAGATTCTGCTCCGAAGCGGTTGGCGGCTCCCGATCGAGCCGATAGGCTTCAGCGGCAACAAGTCAGGCTTGCTGGCTTGAACATCCATGGCCCGACTCTCCCTGGTCATTCGGTCATCGATCGTTGCGTTCAGATGTATGAGGATAACTCTCTTTCATACCTACCTTTGCAGTCTTGTCCCTGCCGGGATGATGAAGTGAAGTTCAAGAAGGACCGAGATGACAAGATGCTTGCTGTGGATGGCACGGGGCACGTGTCTCTTCGGTCGCAGGCCGTGAAAGTGGAGGCCGATGTGTCCACTGACCTTTTGCTTAAGCATGCACTTACTCGTCGTGGGCTTGCGTTGGACCAAGCTGGCATTCTGAGCTTCGCGGAGCATGAGCGTTGGTCTGAGGCGTTGTTTTCAGGCTCGATTTCGCGATCCGCCAGACCAGTATGCCCGTGTCACGCTCCAGCAACTCATCCAGGCTGACAGGCAGGTTTTTGTTGAAGCAGCTGATCGGACCCGCCAGGGGATTCAGGTGGTGGCTTCCGGGCGACCGGTCGATCGCATTTGGAGTGACGCCATGTCTTGCAACAATGTCACTCACCTGCTGCAACCCTTGCCCTTGCCTCCGCCAGCTCCTTTGCATCCGCGGCCTGGGCCCTATGATGACCGCAGGGGTTTAAAGGGTCGCGGTAAGGGTAAAGGGAAAGGTAAGGGTAAGGGAAATGTTCGTATGCCTGCTGAGCTGTCCGATGGGGTGCCAGTCACCACCCGGGGCTTGCCCATCTGCTTCGACCACAACTTGGGGCGGTGCCAGCATCCCGTCACTAGTGGGAAGTGCGACCGTGGTCTTCACATTTGTTGCATCAAAGGCTGCTTCAAGCGGGATCATGTCTATACAAATTGCCCAAAGCATAAAAAGGAGTGACTAGGCTCTGAGGCGCAGGTCCACGTGACTGATGATAAAGATGTAGCACAGCTTGGTGAGGAGCTTGTGCTCTCTTCTTCCGATGATGAGGTCCCTGAAGGGGAGTCATCACCGAAACACGTCCCGTGCTCGGCCTCAGTTCCGCCTCCGCCGCTTTCCGACAACCCCGAAGCTTTTGCGTCTCAGCTGCTCAAGAAGCCGTGGCTTGAGGCGAGCGATGTTTTGCAGCTTTTTGAGATGTTACCAATGGCCGCGCCCCAGCGTGGAACTGAGGGCAAGGCTTTTGCTACCGGAGCGTTTGCTCGGGTCAAGGTTGGGTTGCGTACTAATGTTGCTGTTTTCCCTCAGGCGTCCCGCGTCTTTGCATCGTTCGTGCGCCAATCTGCCCCAGGCCATAAGTTCACTTCAGTTGTGGTTTTTGAGGGGGTTCGCGCCAAACCCCACCGTGATCAGCAGAACTCTTGTGTACCCAACTTGGTGGTTCCTTTGTCAAGTTTTGAGAGGGGTGAAATTTGGGTGGCCACTGACTCTGGAACTGTCTCTCGACAGGTCAATGGCAAGCAGCAGAAGGGAGTTCTCTTGCCTGTGGGAGCCGGGCCCGTGCTGTTTGATGCACGTCGTGCTCTGCATCTCACTGCAAGGCCGCCGTGTGGTCTTAGTGGCCTTTTCTATCGGTGCATTTTCGAAGCTGTCCAGCGAGGCTTCTGACCGCTTGTCTGCACTGCAGTTTAACTTGCCAAAACAGCCCGATGCTGATGCATTTCAAGAGCGCCCGCAATTGCCGGTGCGTCTTCCCTGGCCGCCTCAGTTGCCCATCCTTGCATCTGTGCCTTCGGTTCCCGACATTCCTAAGCCGGCTGCTGGTGAGCCCTTGTTCTTGGAGCTATGTGCTGGTACTGCCATGTTGTCGCGCTGCTTTCATGAGGTCGGCGTCCCGGTCATGCCCATTGACCATCAGCACAATCGGCATCTTCCGTTGGCTAAGGTGTGTAACCTCAGCCTCACTGAGGATTCGACCTGGGACTTCCTAAGACACTTGATTGACACTTGTGACATCCTGTTTGTGCGTGCCGCTCCACCGTGTGGCACATGCTCTATGGCCAGGCATATCCGGCGCAAGGGTGTGTCTGCTGGCCCCCTTCGTTCAAAGCAGTTCCCTATGGGCTTGCCGTCCCTGACTGGAGTCGACCGGGCAAAGGTCGAGGCAGCAAACCAGATTTACACTAAGCTGGGTCTTTTCCTGCAGGACTTGGGTCGTCGTGCCATTCCCTGGTCTGTCGAGAATCCTGAGTCGAGTATGCTGTGGCAGCTGCCCTGTTTTCAGCCCTTGGTGAAGGATCACCATGTTTTCTCCTTCGACATGTGTTGTTATGGGGGGTCCCGTCTGACCCACAGGTCTTTGCTCACTTCGTGCTTTGGGCTGCGCCATTTTCGCCAGCGATGTTCCGGGGGACATGAACATTTGCCGTGGACCCCAAAGGTTGCCCCAGGTGGAAAGGTGCATTTCCCTACGGCAGACGAAGCGGCATACCCGCGTCCGTTCTGCGTGCAATTTGTGGCGCTGGTTTTCCGCCACCTTGGGCGGCCCCTGCCTGCCACGCCTGCCCCTCAGGTGTCAGCTCAGGCGTCTGCTTCTTCAGCTCGCCAGCCCCGTGGGCGTCGCATCCCTCCTGTCATGCCTGAGTTTAAGCGTGTGCTCGTGTATCAGGTTGCTGCGTTGCCCCAGGTGGATCACAAGCGTCGCTTGCTGCATCCTTTGCGGGATGCCCCGGCGGGCTCCAAGCTTATCTCCTCGGCGTCTTTGCTCTCTGAGGTGGGGTTGAAAAGCGCCTCGGAGACAACGGTTCAGGCAGATGCCCTAGTCGTTGATTCGAGCTCGTCTGAGTCAGATGACACTGCGTCTCCTGTGGGCCCGGATGACCAGGCCAGTATGTGCTTTGAAGTGTCGCTGGGTGTGTATGCTTCCCCCGAAGAATTTGTGGAAGAATGCCTGAACGTAGGGCATCCCTTTGATCAGCTGCATGCTGCGCCTGATGTGCTCAAACAGTGCCTTTTTGACATGCTGACCAAGGGGCCTGCTTGGGTAGTGGATCGTAGGGCAAAGCTGCTCAAGAAGTGGACCCAGTGGGCTCGCGACCTTGAGGCCGAGGAAGCAGGCCTTCGCAAGTCGTTAGACCCTGAGGTTGCAAAGGTGTTGCAAGGAAAAAGGCTCCTGCTTCTTGAGAAGATTGCGTCGTCAATCGGCTGGGTTGACATGGGCGTTTTTGCTGAGCTTAGGAAGGGCTTTGATTTGGTGGGGCATGCAAAGCACACGGGAGTTTTCGCGCTTGAGCCCAGGCCTCCGAAGCTTCCTAAGGATGACTTTCTTGCTGCCACAAAATTTCTTAGGCCCGCCCTGCTGGGTAAGGTAAAATCGTCGTCCGTGGATCGCAACGCGCGTGAGCTGTGGGAAAAGACGATGCAGGAGGTGGAGAGTGGTATGTTGGAGGGACCTCTGTCGTCGCAGCAGCTGGATGATAGGCATCCCTCTGGCTGGTTGCCCACTCGGCGTTTCGGGGTGGAACAGACTTCTGCTGCCGGGCGCAAGCTGCGGCCTGTTGATGATTTCACCGAGAACAAGGTGAATCTTGCCTTTGGGTCTATGGATAAGCTGGACTTAAATGCGCTTGATCAACTTATCTGCACCTGCCGCATTTGGGCAAGGGCCATGTGTGGGGGGCATGATTGTGAGCTCGCGCTTTCCTCGGGGCTTGTGCTCAAAGGCCGTGTGCATCCTGGTTGGAAGAAGGCGGGGCATCAGCCGCTTTTAACCACACTTGATCTTCGAGCTGCTTACAAACAGTTCGCAGTGTCGGCCGACTCGCGAGCTTGGGCAGTTATCGCTTTGCTTAACCCTGATACGCTGGTGCCGGGCCTTTTCGAGTCGAAGGCGTTGCCTTTTGGCAGCGCGGCCTCGGTGCTGCATCTCAACCGTCTCTCGAGATTGTTGTGGAGGTTGGGGGTTGAGCTTTTGATCCCATGGGGAAACTTTTTCGACGACTTCCCTGCAATGTCACCGAGTGCCATCTCAGACAATACCATGAGTACAATGACTGCCTTGTGTTCCCTTCTCGGGTTCGCCTTCGCTGACGACAAGCTTAGCCCCTTTCAGCCTGCTGCCACCATGTTGGGGGTTGAGGTCGATTGTTCTAGGTGTGATGAGGGTTTGGTGCTCGTAAGGAACAAGCCTGGTCGTGCTGAGGAGCTCGTGGTATCTCTTGAAGAGTTTCTGCGCGAGGGAGTGATCTCTCGAAAGCGTTACCTCAGTCTCATGGGTCGGCTCCACTACACTGATTCATACATACTTGGTAAGTCGGGCCGTTTGATCATGGCGGACATTCGCTCGTGGGCAAAGGGGCATTGTTCCGACGAGTTGGTCTTGGACGATGCAGCAAGGGATTCGCTGCGTCTGTTCATTGCGCGTCTCCGTGCTTGTGAGCCTCGCCAGGTGCCTTGTGGAGTGGCAAGCCACGTTGTGCACGTCTTCACGGATGGCGCCAGTGAGGGTGAGGTGCACTCGATTGGTGGGGTCCTTGTAGTGCAAGGAAGGCTGCATTCTTGCTTTGGGTCTTTTGTTCCCGATCATTTGATCAGCAAATGGACCTCCACGATGCGACACATTATCGGGCCGGTTGAATCATATGCAGTTGCGGTGGCAAGGAGAGTTTGGCACCAATTCATTGCTTCGCAGCGCGCTCTGTTTTTCATCGATAATGTGCAGGCACAAGACTCCTACATAAAGGGCACCTCTGCCAACCCTCACGTGCGGGAAATCCTCCTTTCTTTCGAGGAGTCGGAAAAACTTTCCCCTTCCTGGACGTGGTTCGCCCGAGTGGCGAGTCCAAGCAATGTCGCAGACGAGCCGTCACGTGCTGCCTTCGGGTTTTTGCATAAGGTTCAATGTCGCAGGGTCACTCCCTCGTGTCCCATCAGTGGTTTTGACCTCTTTGATCTTGGCGCCCTTGGAAAAATTTGAAAGTGGGGTGAAGGGGGCGGACGCCAGATCCGTTTCGCCCCATGCGACAAAAAGAGTGCATCCGAGCTTTCAGGCATGTGGGATCCGTTGCTTTGCGATTGCACCTTCATGTGAGTGCTGAGCTTTGCAATTCCCTTTAAGACATCTTAAAGAGTTTTCTTGGAGGTTTGAAAATCCTTTTATGAAAAGGGATTCAGTAGAAAGCAAGCGCATCTACGATCCCTTTTTCATTTTAGGACAGCGAGGGTACGAGCGTTTTCAAACTGAGATTTTCTTGGACATATGCCGTTGGTCACCTGTGCAAGCTTTGAGGGCACAATGCATCACTGCCTGTGCGCGTGCGTGTGCTTGATGTGCAATGCAGTTTTGTGGGGTCACGTTTTGCTTGACTTGCGTTTTTCCTTCATGTGCAGAGAGTGAAAATTTTACCCACCCACCACTCCCTGCTCTGGCCCGGGTGCCATGAGCAGTTGTGTGCACTGCCGTGCTTTGACCTGCTTGACAGACTCTTCAGTGTCGGCCCTGCAGGGCTCGTTGGTTTCACGCCAAATCCGTAGAAGCTGTGGCCACAGCTCCGTAGTGCAGTAGCCCGTAGCTGGCGTACGTGCTACTCTCCCACCCGCCTCACCCACGCCCCCGAAGGGGGCGGACGCCAGATCCGTTTCGTCCCATGTGGGATCCGTTGCTTTGCGATTGCACCTTCATGTGAGTGCTGAGCTTTGCAATTCCCTTTAAGACATCTTAAAGAGTTTTCTTGGAGGTTTGAAAATCCTTTTATGAAAACACAGCTGTTTTACACGACGCCTTTTCATGCACTTTGGGAAATCTTTGCTTCCTATTTCTTAGCACCAGCTGCTCGAACATGTCATGCGCTTGGTGTCCAGTTCGAAGCATTTAGCAACATAGAATTTGGCTTAGCACGGTGACAGTGACATCTTTTGCATTACTGCTTTATTGCAGGCACATGTCTTTACTAGGACACTTTCTTCTAGGCATCCTTTGGGAGCCTTGCGCCGAATGGAAGAGCTGCCTCCCGAGCTGGTTTTGCCTGATAGTTCCTCTGCAAGCGACAGCAGCCTCGACACTACCAGCTGGCTTGGGCGTGAATCTTTGCAGCATCGCAGGTGTATCAGAGTTTTGCTTCGTTTTTGCAGTCAGCTGGCGGAGAGGGTCTCGTACTTGGAAGAGGCTGCTTTTCTCCGGGCAGTTTTTACGGCTTGGCGTGAGGTTCCCCATTCTTGATTCTTCTGGGCAAATCAGTTTTGCTTCTTTCTTTTCTTATGGAACAGTCTGCAAATGTGGGTTCAACTTCTGATGGGGAGCTTGGTGGTTCTACTCCTCAGTCTGGAGCAAGGGGCTTTCGTAAGCGTCGGCAATCCACGGTCAGTTCGTTGGCAAATCTTCCTGCAGCGGCTTGCATTTCAGCAGTTTCAGCACATGGATCGACTGGTTTTTCAGATGATGTTCTGGAAGAATCTTCTGAAGAGGATTTACATGCAGCTGCTTTGGTTCCTCCCCAATTGCATAATATTCCGACGACTATGTCACCGCCAACAACAGTGCTTTTGCCTTTGCAGGCGACTCCTAAAGCTCCTTCTTGCGGCACGGCCCCTTCTCTGGCTCGGGGGCTGGGGGTTACCGCAAAAGCTTTCCCAGGGGTTCTTCCAGGGTCTTCCGGGTCTGTTCGGGTTCAGCCTAGGGTTCCTGCACGGAAGCGGATAGCAGATGTGCTTTCTGATCCACCCCCACCTAGACCTATGTCTGGGGGTAAGCTCGCGCGTCCAGGGTTAGCTTTTTCCTCTTCCCCTAAGCCTTGCCCTAAACGTGCATCTGCTTACGCCGCACATTGCCGAGTGCCCACAGGAACGCACAGTCAGGTTCTCACTGCTTCAGGTGCTTCAGATACAACAATGGGGCCTTCGGCTCTTTCATCTTCGGACGCTGATTCACACGACCGTGTCACGGGTGCGCCAAAGGCATCTTCTTTCTATTTGCCTTTGCAGTCACGGTCGGGACAGGCTTCTACAAGGCGAACAGAGGGCAAAGCTTCATCGTTGGTGTCACAGCAATCTGTGCGAGCAGCGATGTCACTACGTGCTGCAGCTCTTTGGGACACACTTGTGGGCATCTTTCTTGCAATTTCTCCCGTGCTGCAGCAAGCTCATCAGGCAGTTCAGACAAGTCAGATTCTTGATCGTCTTTTTCAGTCTGTCAGGGTATTGCCAATCTTTGCTGCGTTTCTTGCAAGTTTTTGAGGAGCTGCGTGGTACTGTCTGTGGAGGTTTTGAATTGTTCATGTTCCTGGACGCCTTTGCGGTATTGGCCAGGCAACCTTCAGGCTTACTGCTCCGGTGAATGTCCTCAAGGCTCTGCGTTGGATGAAGAAACTTTTCGAGTTGCCCTGGCCCGACTTGGCATCGCCGATGTTTCGAGCGTTGGAGGCTCGACGTCCTGGTCCTCGTCGAGAGTCTGTGCCGTTTCCTGCAGCTTTCATTGCCTTTCTCGAGGCCGTCGTGATTCAGGGGGACATCTTCCCACGCTTTTACAGGTTATTTTCGGGAGCACTTCTTACTTGCATCTACGCAAGTCTTCGATGGAGTGATGCACAGTCGGTCCTCTGGGATGCTATTTTCTTGGACATCGATACTCTGCGATCAACTGCTGTCAGGACGAAGGTGACTACACAGGGCATGCCTTTCGCAATATGGCGTGAAGGCATTCAGGCCGGTTCAGGCTTTTCTTGGGTGGACCACTGGGTCTGGCTTCTTGGCGAAGTTTTCGCTTCCTTCACGCGTGCGTGATTGTGCTTTATCGTTAGCTTAAACGAATGCGGGCAACGTTTGCCTAACAAGTTGTTAAGTCGGGAGACGGGGGAAACGTCAGCCCATGCAGTCGCTTGAAGCTCGAAGCGTAGCTTCCTGGTTTTTCTGTAGCGTGGCATAGTGTTGCCTTAGCTTTGTGTGCCATGGGGCCCAAGAAGGAGGTCGAAGCCAGTGAGGAGGTAAACGCAGCGTCTGCGTCAGCGTCTGTGTCAGATGCTCAGACACCCGGGACGGCGTCCGCCCCGGTCTATACCTCTCCGGAGCACCCGCTCCGGGTATCACTCGTGATGCTCCCATGCGTCGTGGGAGCCAAGAGACCCCTTACAGGTTCGCTCGCCGTTGCTCGACATTGGCCCCGTACCCGTGGGAGCGCGGCGCTGTTTGTCTGCACCGGCGAACGTTTCGCTGCAGATTCACGAGGCCCGTGCTGCCTTGCGCTTCCTGAAGGAAGTCGAGCAAGACGTTCTTGTCCAAGCCTTGCGCGAGGAGCTCAGCAATGGCAATGTGTGCTATTTTCAGCACTGCTTTGCGACTTTGTGGGACGATTCCCAAGACGAGTCGTCTGGCTGAGCCCCCTGCGGTTCCGGAGGCGCAGCCTGAGTCGCCAGCGGCCGTGCCGGCGGAAACAGCCCCCACTGAGCAGGCCGTGCCTGCTACTGTGATCAGCTCGGAGGACGAGCCTGCCCCTGAGCAGCCGAGGTCCCGTGGACCGGGGGAAGCCCCCACTCGCTCCTGGAGCAGCTGGCCCTCACTGGCACCGTGTGGGCGTGGCCATCGAACCCCTACGACGAGGAGTGGCGTGGCCACCCGGATCTCGTAGATCTGAGGTTTCCACAAAATAGGACGTTGCCTGGCACGTTGCCGTCTATGGGTACGTGGCCCTATAACCGCAACCAGTACCGGCCCTTCCGTCGTAAGTGCCACAGCCACCATGAGTGTGACAGTTGTCACAGGCGCGGGGACGCCACGGTCGTATCCGTGAGGGGCGTCGCTGAGTACTCGCCTAAGTGGGCGAACGTTTTCCCCCCTTAGATCTCGGACCGTCGCGTCGGCAGGTCCTCGGGCCGTGCCCGCTGTGTGTTTTCCTCAAGTGGCACGCAGGGTGTTATTGCTTACTCAGTCACCTTGGGGTGCAGAAAACGGAAGTGCTTGAGCGAGGTGCTCAATAAGCAGAGAGTTTGAGCGGAGTGCTCCGTCAGGGCCGTTACCCTGCTTGTGTAATAAGCAGAGAGTTTGAGCGAAGTGCTCCGTCAGGGCCGTTACCCTGCTTGTGTGGCGACGTGCCTGTTTGTTGAAGCCTCCTAATGCTTGAGCGAGGTGCTCCCATAAGCGACGTGCTTGAGCGAAGTGCTCCCATAGCGACGTGCTTGAGCGAAGTGCTCCGTGAGAATGTTCCAGTCCCTCTTCCTGAGCGACGTGCTCCTTGTGTGTTATGTTCGAGCGATGTGCTCCTTAGGGCCGTTACCCTACCCTGTCTGGCGGAGTGCCTGACCTTTCTGGGACGACGTTCTCCGTTGTGTGTGTCTCGCTCAGTAGCGTCTTAAGCTTGTAGTGTAGCACTGCGCTTTCAGTTCCAGCATACTTGCCATGGCGGTGAAGGGCAGCATGACCTTCGATGAAGCCACGTTGGCTTGCTTCCGTGAAGCTGAAGCCTCCCTTGGGGAAGGCGGCGCGGCCTTCGCCACGGATGTAGTGGAGGTGGCCGTCGCCGCTGGGTGGACCCGCGTCGGGGATCCCGGCCGTGCCGGTGTCAATTCGTTTGCGGCAATCCTGTTGGGTTTTGTGCCGCCTTTTCCCAACTTGCCCCCCCCCGCGTCGGGGGCAGCCCAGCCGCCTGCTGCGCCGGAGAACGTTTCTCCTCCCCAGGCTGGGGTGTCCGAAAGCAAGGACCCCGCCCCTGAGCCTCCCGTTGCTGCCGCGCCGGACGTTTCCGGGCAGGCGGCTAAAGAAGAGGAGTCCTCTTCGGACGATGACTCGCGTGACACTGAGCCGGCGGACCCCCCGACCGAGCCCTCCGACGTTCGAAAAGAGGCCGCCGCTGCTGCGGCCAAAGCGAAGGGCCGTGCCCTCTCCAAGCGGCGTGCAGCCCCTCGTACGAGCACACGTACGAGAGCTACAGTCCTGACGACCAGGCGGGAAGCGAGGGCCGTGCCCCCGTCCCCCGCCCGCCCTGAACGCGACGATCGCGTACGGCCTGCTCGTAAGCAGCCACGCGTCTTTGTCGACGCCCGGCGCCCCGGCCCGTTCAGGGGAGTGACGACCGAGGTTCCGGCCGTGCCGCCTCCCCCCCCTGCGGGCCCCAGACGTTCTGGTGCGGAGTTGCGACCCCACTCCGCCCGACCTGAGCCCCAGGGCCGTGCCCGCACCCCCGCGTCGGGGACGGAGCGTGCCGGACGCCGTGCGTCCGGCGTTGAGGCCCCGGTGAGGGCCATGATGTGTGATAGCGGCTGCGGGGTGCCGCTCGAGCCCGATTCAATCCACGCCTTTGCCTGCAGCGTCTGCAGGTGGCAGTGGGACGGCGTCGTACGCCGGGGGGGCAGGGTCCAGAAGCACTGGTACTGCCCCGGCTGCAGAGTCATTTACTGCAGGGACTGCTGCAGGGTCTCCGTGAGACAGGCGCACGCGCGTCGTACGCGGTGAAAGTCCCGCTTGCCTTTACCTGGTCGTACCAGAGTTTGGCGGCCTGGACCCCTGGAGTGTGGGGGTTTGGGGTTTTCGAGTCTTGTCGTTTTGAACGAGCGGCCGTGCCGCGTCAAGCTTTCAGACCGACAGAGTGTGCGCAGTGGAAAAGGCAGCTCCTTGGGTCAAGGGGCTGTAGCTGCTGCTGTGTTAAGTTTCAGCGTCTTGGGCTTCCCGCGTTGGGATTTCATGCCCCTACCGGCAAGTACCGGTCGAGTGGGTAAACGGCCGGAGTGGTCGCCCCCGGATTGCTAGTAGCATTCCCCCCTTGTCCGGCCGTTGCCGGAGTACTGGAGGAAGTCTCCTTATATCTGCTTGTGCGTGAGCAGCCGTTTCGTTTCAAGTGCGCCCGATCATCAGTTTGAAATCTGCTCCAGGCCGGGGTGGTCTAGCGAAGTGCTTTTGGGAGCGAGGGCTGCGTATTTTGTGCCCGGTGTCCTCGAATGGCTCGCAGCCTTGAGATGTTTTCTGATCGAGCCGATAGAGCCTGGGCCAGGCTGCCCAGTCAGTCTGTACAGCTCCCTTGGGAGGTCAGTTTCCAGTCGTGCTTGGAGCTCCCCCTCTCCCTCAATTTTGAGCGCCCCGCTAGAGTCCGAGTGCCGGAGAGGAGCGTGGTCCCGGTAGAGACCAAGAAGCCGCGCGTTCACGGCCAGTCAGTACTGTCAGTGGCAGTAAAGGTCTCCGCCAAGCCTTGGCACGAAGCTATTGGAAGGATGGCAGGATGCGTTTGGCATTGCTGCGCTCTGCCGTGCAGATGCCGATGGCACGCTGGATTTGGACGAGCTGTCGTACAGCATAGCCAGCGCCTGTGCGCACAAGGCCACCGGAACAATAGTCCGCAGACTTTCGTCTCTGAGCCACTTCGTAACGTGGGCAGACTCCGTTCAAGCGTCGCCCTTTCCGGTGACGGAGAGAGTGTCCTGGATGTACTTAGCTCACTTGGAGCGTTCCGAGGCGCCATGGTCGAAACCTGGCGGGTTCACTCAGTGCGTCAACTGGTGTCGAGGCGTCCTCGGCCTGAAAGTCGAGGACTACATGACCTCGAGCCCTCGTATTGTGGGCCTTTGCAAAGGTTTCGAGGCCAAGGCTCCTCCGCCCCGCCGTGCGCCTGCTCTAGCTGTGGAGGAGGTCAAATTCCTCGAGAGTGCAGCGGCCTTCGCTGACAATGCTCCCGCGTCATTGCGGGAGCGTTGTTGTTTATGATGTTCAGTTGTGCCAGAGCCAGTGATGCAGCCAGGATGGTAACTCTTGAGGTCGACTTTTCCGACCCAGACGAGTCCACCGTGTGGATAGAGGGCTCCGTCTCCAAGAGTAAGACGGCCATGGGGGCCAGAGCACGCGTCTTGTTGCCACTTCTGGCGCCGTGCGTTTACCTAGAGACTCCCTGGATCCCACAGTGGCTGGAGGCACGGGTGTCTCTCGGCCTTTCGGTCAAAGGCGCCATCGATAAGGGTTCCCTGATCCCGCATTTCGGTGAAGATGGCGTCCCGACTGGAAATGCCATGTCTTCGCAGCAGATCACTAAGTGGTTGCGCGGCATTCTGGCAGAGGTCTTCCCGGCCTCTTCCCGTCTCTCCAGCCACAGCCTCAAGGCCACAGGCCTGACGTGGGCTGCGTCGGCCGGTGTCGCCCTGGACACGCGGCGCTTGTTGGCACATCATGTGCGCTGTAGCACGGAGACCTACAGCCGGGACGTTCTCGCGCCGGCGGCGCGTATTTTCGAGGAAGTTCTCCTCGCCATCCGTGATGGCGACTTCGCGCCTGACAACCCGCGCGGGAGTCAAATTAGGACTAGACAGCGGGTCTTGGCCTTCAACAAACCAGACCCGGTCGTGCCGGAGGGAGCCCTGCGTCGGGGTTCAAATGTCCCTCCCGACCCAGACAACGAGTCGGCAGCGGCTGCGTCAGCCGAGCAACCGGCACCCGAGCACATGACTGACACCACAGACAGCGAGTCGGACCGACTTAGTGAGGAGGATATGCCGGCAGATCCCCCTTTGCCCGGGAACCGCGCCCGCCGCGAGGCCGTGGCAGCCCTGCCGCCGTGGTGCCAGTCCTTTATGCATGCTGTCAGCGGCTGCCTCCACGTTCAAGGAGTTGAGATGCGGAATCGTCTTCTTTGTGGGCGTTACCAGCGACGTTGTCGAACTCGAAGAGGGGCGTCCCCATTGCAAGCAGTGCTGGACCCACTCGAGCTTGCAGGACTAGAGGAAAAAGGAGGCTTTGTTGACCTCGTCACAGGCCCCCCCCCCCCCACTTTCCTCTCTTTCTGCTTGTCCTCTTCACCTGTCAGGCCATGGTATCCCTGGTTGACAGCAAGGCCGAGGTTAAAAGCAGAGCCGAGGACTTGCTCGGGAGCGACCCCTTCAAGAATCTGGTGAAAGAGAATGTGGAGTCCTTTGCCGCCCTTGCGTTCTCTGTGGCTGATCAGCCCAACCATATTGACGATAACAAGCTGGAAGATCTGGCGAAAAAGATCTTCCCGGCGCCTGGGCCGACGTTGGGCCACGCAGGAGCTTTGCGACGTCTCGCCTTTGAAGGTTTGGCCTTCAGCCTGCAGGATTTGAAGGATCGGGGCGACCCCGAGGCGTCCAGCAAGAAGTGCTTGCCCAGCCACGAAAGAGAGCACAAGAGGAAAGAGCAAGTTGCCCGCCTCACTGGAGTCCTCATGGAAGGTGACCTGGAGCCCTCCAACGGTCTCGTAGACCGCGCGGCGGCAATGTTGCACGACGGGCTTGTGCGTTACATTCCGCCGTCCGCATGCGTGAGTCGCGATGCAGAGGTCGCCGCCGTGCGGCGGGACAAGGAATTCTTTGCCATCGAAAATGGCGAACTTACCCTCAAGAAGAAGGACAACGTGATCAATGCGGACGTAGCAACCGACTTCAAGCTACAGCAGGCGTTCACCAGGAGAGGTCTGGCCCTGGACCGCGTCGGTCTGGTCTCCTTCAACGTGCACGAGCGTCTCGTGCGAAACTACTTCTTCCTGGCGAGCCGGGCCGCCCCGCCTGGCTACGCCAAGCCCGGTGTAGGCGCAATTATCAAGGCTGACAAAGAGCTCTGGACGTTGCTGTCCCGAGAGTGTCGTGACGGGTGCAAGCCCAACGCAGCAGGCGTGGCTCCATTGGACGCCCTAATTGCAGCCAAGCAGAACGACACGTGCGTCACGTTCAGCCTCTTCCCCCTGCCACAGACAGATGGCCGGGGCCGCGAGTGGACGAAGGGAAGAGGCGCTGGTAAAGGAGGGAAGGGCCGTGACCCTAGAGGATCTGGCAGGAGTCGCACCCCAAAAAGGCCGGGGCAGGGGGAGAGGTAAAGGGAAGCCTTCCGCTCCTACCCTCCCGGCCGAAAAGAAACCGCCGATGCCTAAAGAACTGCGCCCTTTCCAGCCGCATGACGATCACGGCAGACGTTACTGCTATGGGTTTAACCTGGAGGAGGGCTGTGACATCCCGGCGTCCGGGAATCCCGCGGACTGCACGTTTGCATGTCCTGTGGGTCCAAGGACCACGGGGCAGGGAACTGTCCGGCAAACAAGAAGCGTGAGTGACTATCCCAGCCGGTAGTCGAAATGAGCAAGGCCTCGTCAGGCCCGGGTGAGTCGCCCGCTCCCGCCCCTCCTTCCCCCCCTGGAAAGGGCGGGTCGCGTTGCGATGCTGTTACGGGCCGTGCCCGCTGTGAGGAAGTTCAACCTCCAGCTGGGGGGTCAGCGTCCTTGCCTGTGGACTGCCAGCCCGGCCATGGCGATAGGGGCGTCCCTTTGTTTGAGAAAGTCTTCTGCGGCTTGGGACGTTTGAGTAAAGCCGCGAAGGATTTAGGCTTCCACACAGTGAGCATTGACAAAGTTTGCAAGGCTCAAGGTGTCAAGGTCCTGCAATTGGACCTCTCCAGGAAAGAAGGGCGTTCCCTTCTCAAAGATGTCCTGGACAGGCCAGGCGTAGTTTGGGTTCACTGGGCCCCCCCATGCGGAACGTTCAGTCGCGCCAGGGAAATTCGCCATCCGGGGGGACCAAGGCCGCTGAGGGATCGAAATTTCGTAAGGGGGCTGCCATCCCTTAAGGATTTTCGTGACAGGGCACGCGTTCGTGCCGCGAACAGCCTCGTAGAGCTGATGTCCTCCTGGTGCAGACATGTGTCCGAAAAAGGGGTATGCTGGAGTATTGAAAATCCCACCAATAGCTTGATTTGGCTTTTCCCTGGTTTGAGTGGGCTCGTGGCCAAATCTCACGTTGTCACGCTGCATGCGTGCATGTTTGGCAGTACCCGGCGGAAGAGCACCACGTTGGTGTCGAACCGCTCTTGGTTTCGTCGGACAGCCGTGCTGTGCTCTGGAGACCATGCCCATGAGTCATGGGGTCACAGGTCACGCATGAAGGGAAGCGTGTTTGGTCGACCTCTCTTGAGAGTGCTTACACGCCCCAGCTTGCCAAAGCGTGGGCGTCCTGCGCAGGGGCGGCTGTGAAGGACGTCCTGGAAAAAGCCCCCGTGGGGCGGAAACGTGCTTTCAAGGCGCTGTGCGAGCCGGACTTCGCTGTCAAGGTCACCCTAAGGGGCGACGATGCCGCACGCTTCTTCAGCTTTTTCCCGCCCTGCAAGATTCCGCGCCACTGGGACCACTGGCCGAAAGGGTCGAAGCTCCTGGAGATCGACCGCGAGGGCGCGACCGCATCGGTCGCCATCCCTTGCTCGCCGGAAGCCTGGTGTAGGCAGGCCTTAGAGCTACCCAACCCGCGTAGGGCGCGTTGTGTCCTCCCTCCCGAGATGCTCGTAGCTCTCGCAGCCGGGAGGACACCATTAAGCTTGCAAAGTCGCGTACGGAGGCGTCCCGTGACCTCCTTCGAGTTTGTAAGGGTTCCGTGAGCCAAGAGACAGCCCTCCGTGAAGGCCTCGACCCCGAAGTCAACCACGTCACTTCCAGTAAGATGTCTGTAGCTCTGGAACTCTTGTTGCGCGAAGTGGGTCACGTCGACCCGGACGTCGCGGAGTCGGTCAGGGTCGGCTTTCCCCTGGTGAATTGGCTCCCCGTTTCGGGTTTGTGGGATGCCGACGTTCGGCCCCCCGAACTTACGGCCCCCGGTCTCCAACTAATGTCCAAAGAAATTTCTCAACGGTGCGTCACAGGTCTCTGCCGGTACCGTGACCGAGCGACTGAGCGTGCTGTGTGGGCCGTGACCCGAGAAGAACAGGCCAGTGGGTGGCTGTCTTTCTGCAGCCGCGAAGACCTTTCCGCTCTGGCGGTAGTTTCTCCCAGGTTTGGAGTCTTCCAGAAAAATAAAGTGAGGCCTATCGACAACTTTAAAGCCAGCCTGGTCAACTCAGCCTGTGGTGTGCAGGAGAAGGTTCAGATGGACGGGATTGACGAGATAGTCGAGGCCTGTCTTTCCTGGCTTCGTTTTCGTCTGCCGGGCAGCCCCCCTGAGCGCATCCTCGGTCGTACCTGGGATCTGAAGAGCGCTTATAAGCAGCTCGCCGTGCGAGCCGACCACAAGCACTTCGCCATCATTTGCGTCGTGGACCCTGAATCAGACGTTGTCCAATACTGCCGCTTGCACAGCCTGCCCTTTGGGGCAGTTGCAGCCGTGCATGCCTTCCTGCGGTGCAGCGAAGCGTTAAAAGCCATAGCAAGGAAAAAGTTTTTCATAGCTATGACCTCTTTTTTTGACGACTTCACGGTGCTGACGTCTGCAGCAAACGCGGCCCACGTTGAGGTCGTTGTCTCCTCAATGTTCAAGAAACTGGGCTGGCGCGTAGCCACGGAGGAGAAGAAGAATCGCCCCTTCTCCGAGGTTTTCGATGTTCTCGGCGTCCGAGTGGACCTGTCCCAGCAGTCCGTGGGTGTGGTACAGGTCAGCAACACGCCACAGCGCGTCGCTGAGCTTAAGGACACAGTAGCGGCGATTAAACAAAAGGGTTCACTTACGTTTGAAGAAGCGCAGCGTCTGCGTGGACGTCTGGTGTTCGCGGAACAACACGTCTGGGGCCGTAACGCCAAACAGGCCGTGGTGGCTGTCGCGGACGTTTCCCCGGCCTCCGAAGCCTCGCATCCTTTGACTGACGTCCAGCAATCAGCTTTGGACTTCATTGAGCAACGCGTCCTGGATGGGCGCCCCCGGTCGTTCTCTGTTCAACCATCCAGAACGTTCCACCTTTGGCTGGACGGGGCATGCGAGTGGGATGTGTCAAACTCAGTGCCCACGTGTGGCTTTGGGGGTGTCCTCTGGCTGGATAGCGTGCCTTTAGCCTGGGGAGACACCCTAGACCCCGCCGCGGCGCAAGAATGGGCAAGCCGCGTCGGTAAGTTTTCGAGTGCGAGTTGTTGCCCTACTTCATATCGCTGCAGCTGTGGGGACGTTTCCTCCGAAACAGTGACCTTCTCGTTTTCATCGACAACGATGCCGCTAGAGCGTCCCTAGCCCGCAGTTTCACACGGAAAGAAGAGGGCGCAGCGATAGTGTTTCAGGCTGTGGAAGCGGAGGAGCGTCTCAGTATCAACGCTTGTTTCTTGAGGGTGCCCACCTCTAGCAACATCGCAGACGGGCCAAGTCGCGGGGTTTTCGACACGATCCTCCGTCTTGGGGGTCGTAGGGTCCCCCTGCCGTGCGGGGCGATACGCAGTGCGTTGGGCCTCTCAGGAGCTGTCTAAGGTGGGGTTTCCTTGGCGTTCGAGGCTTTATAAGATGGGGTACGTTACCTCACGCCGGAGAAGTTCTGGCTCCCAGTGCATCAAGCTGCAACGGCAGCCTGAACTGATCCCCACCGTCATCTCCCAAAGAAAAGGTGCTCGCGTTCCGGCAGTTATGCAATTAGGATAAGCTTCCGATAAGCTTCCTTCACGCGTGCGTGATTGTGCTTTATCGTTAGCTTAAACGAATGCGGGCAACGTTTGCCTAACAAGTTGTTAAGTCGGGAGACGGGGGAAGCGTCAGCCCATGCAGTCGCTTGAAGCTCGAAGCGTAGCTTCCTGGTTTTTCTGTCCCACCCTCCACTCCCTTTGGTGCTAGTCGTACTAGCCTACGTGAAGGTTCACGTAGGTGCTGTTTCGCTTCAAAGAAGCGTCTATCTTGGTGTAGTGTTTGATCTCTGGGGGGGTACCCTCACGCCGGAGAAGTTCTGGCTCCCAGTGCATCAAGCTGCAACGGCAGCCTGAACTGATCCCCGCCGTCATCTCCCAAAGAAAAGGTGCTCGCGTTCCGGCAGTTATGCAATTAGGATAAGCTTCCGATAAAGTGAGGTTCGTGAAGTCTTGCCAGACTTTACCCCTGATGTCCTGTTTTTCAGCTGGCAAGATGGTATGTTCGAGCCACTATCTTACGCAGCTTCTTTGCGTGCTCTTAGGGAACCCCTGCAGAAATCTGGGTTGTTTGCCGCCTCTCAGATCCAGGAGTTTACACTTCACAGTGCCAAGGCTACAGTTCTTTCCATGGCCATACAGTTGAACGTTTCCGAATTCCTTCGTGCTTTTCAAGGCCATCATCGCATGACGAAACTGTACAGCGCCCGACGACGATGTGCACATGTGTTTGCAAGACACGACCCAGCTGCATGACACATGAGCCCAGACTTGAGCCAAAATGGCTACGGACATGTATGTCGCCCGACGACGATGTGCACATGTGTTTGCAAGACACGACCCAGCTGCATGACACATGAGCCCAGACTAGCACGGCGACAAGCATTCTGACATATCATGCCCATGCAAATAAAAAGATCAAAACCGTGCAAGCCTGAAAAACACCCGCCAAAACATTTCCATTCTTTCGCACTTTCACTCACACACACACCCACACACAATTCCAGTATAATTTTTCTTTCCAAGACAGGACCGTCACGTTCCGTGAAGAAGTCCTTCTCAAAGCGATCCCGAAAAGAGCGTACAACGGCAGCATCCAGCTTGGGTGGAAAAGTCTCCGCCCACGTACTTGTCGAAGAAGTAGTGGACAGTGGTTGCGTTGCATTCACCGCAGGATTTTCGGCTGGTACTTCAGGTGCAGAGCAGTGCTGCCAAAAACGACGAATTTTGGCACGAACCACGAACTCGTCTTCGCTACAAGAAGCCAACTCCAAAGAAGCAAGGAAGTGATTCAAATCTGTAAGATCTGTAGCCACAAGCCCGAAAAGCTTGGGCGTAAAGTTGCCAATCACAGCGTGGAGCTCCGACGGGATATCGAAAGAGGCCAGAAGAGCTGGCATTTCATCCTCGACCACATCGAAACCTAGACTTGTTGCCATGGAAGCCATGCAGGGCACTGATTGCAATGAAGCACCAAAGCCTATGCACGCAAAGCCGCACTCAAGCGGAGGTTTCAGAAGGTTGCTGAAGCGCCTCTTGTTGCAGAGGAAGCGGAAGCGAGCACGCAAACGCAAAATGCGCAAGTTACCTCAAGGGAAACTATCTGCAACGCTGAGAGCAGAAGCCCAATTGGCCAAGCGTGTTTCTGGGACGAAACAGGGGAAGCTTGTGTTGAGGTACCTGCACCCCGCTCTGAAGAAGCTTGACGCATGCATGCTATCCTCGCGCACGCAGCCCTCACATGTGCTTCTCCGACTGAAAAAGCGCTCTTGAAGCTATAGAAAACTAAAAGCCGATGAGGCAGCGAAAAGTGGGACCTTTTGCATTTCACGCCAAAGGAAGCTCAAAAATCTTCATACAAGCGGGGCGTTTGCAAAGGCGCCCGCCAGCTGGAAGAAAAGCCACTGATTCCAGCCGAGCGGAACGAACACCGCAGGCCGGCAGCATGTCTTTAGCTGGGTCCCCAGCGTGGTACACACCGCTTGGAGCCTTCCAAACGCATAGCTCCTCAGGAGCGCCCAGATCAAGCAGCGCAGGAGGCACCGATTCCTCATCAGACGAAGAAGCAATGCACTGTTCTGACGAAACTGTCGACTCCAGAAGCCCCGTTGAGCTCATTGCGACAGAGCAAGACGCAAGCTGCACATCACCAGGCTCCGAAGATGATGACGGTGCCGTTGCGACCTGACCATGCTGCTCAGAAGAACGAGGCGCAAAGAAAGGATGAACCGCAGCAGGTGGTACGCAGGAGAGAATGGTACAAGCCGGTTGCTGCACTGGTGGAGCCGCACCACGAAGCATAGTAATGCGAGGCGACCAGCCACTCCTCAAAGCATCAAGGACACTTCGTTGAACCTGCAGCGCGTAGTGAACGTCGTCTCGAACATACATGTCGTAGTAGTCACGGTCAGCGCTGCATTGCTTTCACTGAGCTCAGGCGGTTGCCGGGCGAGTTGGAGTGTGTTGTCATAGTGGTCACAGTCAGAGCTGCATTGCTTTCACTGAGCCTAGCTTCCTTTTGTATGGGCGCCAAGCATCGTGGAAAGGCGGCAGCTGCATCGCCTCTCTCGCTGGACATTTCTGCTGGCTCCCGCGATGCCAAGTGCTCGTGCGCCGAGTTTTGCCTGGGTCTTGTGCTGGGCGTGGGCCTTGTTGTGGCACTGCTGTGCGCGCTTTGAGGTCACATGCGTGTTGGTGCTACATTTGCCGCTGGCAGCTGCTGTCAACTCTCCGGTGGGTCCACGTGAAGGACCCTTGTCCGAGGAGTCCGATTCGCCACGGCCGGATCCTGATGTCAAGAGCCTGAGTTGGTTCTGGTGGCTGCTGCAGCGGATACCCCTGGACCCCGGGTGCATCGTGGTCAGGCCTGTGAAACGTTACATCGACTTTCCGGGCTGAGCTGGCGCGTGATCGAGCAGTGCAGTGAAGCCGATTTGCAAGCATTGGCTCGCCTGTGCTTGCCTGGCAATTTGGCTGGGTTGCCACATGCTACCCGTTCTCTGCTGTGCACGATGGCGCAAACGCCCCTGGCGGAGATCACATGGGTTCTGCCGACATCGACGCGACCCTCTGCACATGAGCCAGCTACGGCATCTTCGAGCACGGCGTCTTTTGACATTTGCTTGCAGGCCCTCGAGAATCGCCTTTCGGAGCTGGAAGGAGTGGTTGGGACAGTGGTGACTTCTTCCAGCCCACTTCGCCCTCTTCTGACTCGTGTTCGCGATGTGGAGCTCGCGCTGGCTTCCAGGACTTCTTGAAGCAGGACCTGCTCCGCCGGCTACGTGATGCATTTCTGAGCATTCGCCTCCTGTGTTTCTCGACAAGCCTTGTACAGTCTGCACTTTTTCAGCAGAGGATTTTGCAGAGGGAGTTCCTTTTTGGACATGTAAACAGGCCTCGTTGTTGGGGAGTGTAGTGCTGCAGTGCCTTGCTGTGCTTGGGCCTTCGTGCCACACCGTCGGCTTGCTCCCGAAACACGCATGCTTCAGCCGTGGGCTCGGGGCATAGAAGAGGTGGGCTTCGACCCGCTTCTCCAGGACACTGGGCCTCTTGCATGCCGTCGGGCATTGCGTGCTGCGCTTTCTAAGGTACTCCTGCTCTGCTGCCAGGACACAGCGACGTTCCGGTCCGGGAAGGACTCTTTGCTCTGCAATGTGCCGTTGAGAATCCCATGGAAGCTTTCGCCTTCGCACACTTCTGTTTGCCATGCATGCGCCTTTGCGCGTTGAACGGCAGCCTTTGTCTTTGCACATCTCCCTTGCGTGCTGGCTCAGATTTTGTGGCCGGAAAAAGGGGGATCTGTGTGTGTGTTTGCTTAGTTCTACACTTTGGCCTTGGGTTAGGTCGTTGGGGGTCGTTTTCTTATGGTTCTGCCATCGGCCTCAGCATGGAACTGCTGCGGGCTGAGCAAAGTCAACGAAAGCGGCCGAAACACTGGTGGGAAGATTCCCGTGCAGGACCTCAGCTGCGGACTTTAATTCAGGTGGTGGCAACGTCTGGCCCGAGGTTGGGCAGGTCTGAGCACCTGCTGGCGAGCGTTTCTGAGGAAGAGACGGCAAGGCCGGAGAATGAGGCTCGGCTCCCGATCATTCCCTATGCAGCTCGTCGTGCGAAGTTCCTCGATTGGCCTGACGAACAAGACGACATGAAGAGGCGTGCGCTTCACATCGTGCGCGTTATGCTTGAGTCGGACTTCGGTGCTTCCAAGTTGGGCGGCTTGATCTACGAACTCTCTGGCGTCTTGGAGAAGGAGCATCAGATACAGAGGTCGATTGAGCTTACCTTTGCGAAGAAGGCTGCAGCCACCTTGCTTAAAAGGGCGTTGTCGATGTGGAAGTTGTTCAAGTGGCATGCCAGATCGGGCTATGTTCTGGGGCTTCGCATTACCGAACAGTCACTCTTTGATTATCTCGAAGATGTCAAGAACAATGCGGCGCCAACTAGTCTTCAAGCTACACTTGAGGCCGTGGCCTTTTTCCACTCGCTGCTTGGTTTGACATTCCAGTTGGATGCAGTCATATCTCATCGGGTGCGGGGTTTGGCACATACTGCGCTTCTACAAAAGCGGCCACTTAAACAAGCTCGGGCGCTGCTGGCACAGGAAGTGCTCTGGTTGGAAGAGGTGGTCTGTACGTCCTTGGACACCGCAGTTGTATGTGTGGCTGGTTTTCTGCTTTATGTCTTATCCAACTGTGCGCGTTGGGGTGATGCGCAGGCTTCGACACTTCCCGAGCTGGATGAGACGGGCGAAAGATGCATCCTCACATCGGACACAACGAGGCACAAACTTTCGACTACAGCCCAGCGGAAAACTACCTTGCTGCCGTTTGCGGCGTTTGGACGACTTCTTCATACGGCTGCATGGGCGGAAAAGTGGCTTTCTGCAATGAAGAGGGCGCGTCTTCCTCGGCAGGGGGCGGATTATCTCCTCCCCAGCTGGAATGAGTCGACAGGGACGTTTTTGAGGAGGCGTATGACTAGCGGCGAAGGCTCCCTTCATCTTCGCGAAGTTCTGCGTCAGAAAGGAGGGCCGGTGCAGCTTCCCTTGCCGTCTTCGCACTCCCTCAAGGCTACCCAGCTGTCCTGGATGGCGAAGGCAGGTACGTTCTCGCTCAGTGAACGCCAAATACTCGGACATCACCTTGACCGTCCCTCGGTGAGCGCACTAACCTACGGACGCCAAAACTTCATTGGACCGCTTCAGAAGCTGCGCGAGCTGCTCTCGAATGTGGTGGCGGGCAAGTTTCGCCCCGACGATTCGGCATCGGCTCTTGTCAGTCGGCAGATACAAGATGAGGAGCTTGCGGCCGACGAGTGTGAAGTGGCATTGCATGGGGTGGCGCATCGTCCCGATGATTCGGCGTCGGAGGACTTGGCTGATGATGAACTACAAGGCTCGGTGGGGCATGTTGTGCCCCAGGCGGAGCGAAGGCATATCCGAGCTCCGGATCCCCTCATCTATCGCCAGCATTCTTCTTCAGGGACGCTACATGTGCTTGCGGCTGGAGGTCACAAGTTTTTGTGTGGACGTCCTGTGACGGCCAATTATGTGGCGCCGGCGACACAGAGTGTTGCTGGAGCTCCGTTGTGCTTTCCGTGCCAGAAGGGACAGTCCTCGTCTTGATCGTCGTGTCGGCCTGAACCGTCGTGTGCAGGCAATGAGGAGGGGTTGTCCTACGAGCACGTAGACTGCCGTCGCGCAGTCGCTGCCGTCGTGCAGCTTGCTGGAACTTTGGCTGTCACCTGTGTATGAAGGAAAAAGACCATGTCTCTCCGGTCGCATGCCGCATCTATCCCAACTTGCCTGCAGGATGAGTGTGGACTCTGAGGCCGCCTTCCGTGCGGATGCACTGCGATTGGGAATCTCCGCGGCTCATGTGGATGCTCTCGTCCAAAAAGGGGTTTCCACACATGCACGGTTCGCTTTCATCTCGTCTTTTCAGCCGGGCTCGGCTGATGAATCCCCGTTTGTGCAGGCCCTCAAGAACTATCTTGGGTCGGATCCGAAGGATAGCATGCCTTGCTTCCGGCATCTTTTCTACACTTCGCACACGCTTGCTGTGCAAGAGTTGAAGGACAAGTTTGAGCCCCGCGATGAACCAAAGCGGTTGTCCATGGCGGATCGTGTGGACCGCCTAGAGCGCTTGAAGCGTGAGCTTGTTGGTCTGTCGATTGACAGTTGGATTGAGCCCTCGCATGCCTTGGTTGATCGGGCTGTTGCGTTTGCAGAGGAGCAGTGCTTAGGACCGCTTGAGCTGAGCAAGTGCACGTCGAGGGAGTCCGAGATGCGCTCTGAGAAACGCGATCCGGTGACATATAGGATTGAGGGCATTGTCAAGGTGTCCAAATCTCAGCAGGAGCCTGTCGCCGACACATCTAGCGACCTGCATGTCAGGCTGTGTATGCAAAGGCGGGCTCTGGCATTTCAGATGGCTGGCATTGCCACTTATGTTGAGCTTGATCGTGTCATCTCGCGCTTCTTTGCCCACCTCCTGCGGCCTGTGCTCCAAGGCCAGCGTGCGGTGCAGTTGCAACAGGCTGTCGAGGCTGATCGCCTACTGTGGACGCTTGTTGCTCAGGATACCCGCGGCAAGATACTCACTTCTGGCAAGCCGTTGCCGCTTGACGCCGCAGCCGTCCGGTTGTTCGACTCGCCGGATGTTGCTTACACGCTTCTGCCGCGGTCCGGGTCTGGGGGGCCGCCCCCCGCAAAGCCTCCAGCGGGCGAATCTGCTCAGGCAGCCTTGCGGGAGAAGCGCAAAAGGCGACAGGGTCGACGCCCTTCTTCCCAGACTGTTGCTTCTTCAAATCAGCCGGCTAAAGGCGGGGGGAAGGGCTCGGGCAAATCGCTTGATCTTCCTGCTGGGGCTAAGACTTGGGACGCACAAAATAGGCCTATCTGTTTCCGGTTCAATAGGAAGGCGTGTGACCAGCAAGCGCATGAAAAGTGCGGCCGTGGGCAGCACATCTGTTGGTTTTGTTTCCAAAGGCATCCGGGGGTTGAGTGCTCAAAGGCGTGATCTGCAACCGGGTTGTCGCACAACAGCGCCGCCGCGGCGCAGCCCCCTTCCGCGGCCCCTGCTTTGGAGTTTCTTGGTCCCTTGCCTTCGGTTCGGATTGGTGATGTGGCGTTGCGGTTGCCTGCAGGGCATTCGCCCACGGAGTTTCCGCAACCGGAGGCCATGGCCGCAACTTTTGCTGACCCTCCCACCCGGGAGGAAATTTTGTCCATTGTGCCGCATCTTGAATCCGAGGTTCCGGGACGGGGCGCTGCAGGCCCGGCCTCCCTGTCCTTCACAGTTGGTGCGTGGTCTAAGTCCGGTACTACCGGCATCCGCTTGCGGACTCATGCTTTTCCCAATGTCACGCGCGCTCTGGTTCAGTTTGTTCGGGCCCAGGCGCCGACACACACTTTTGCAGCGGTGGCCATTTTTCGTAACCTTCAGACAGATTTACACATTGATGTTAACAACGAGCATGCCTCGCATAACCTGTTGTTGCCGTTGTCGCAATTTTCCGGCGGTTCCGTTTGGCAAGAGCAGTCGGGGGGGGCCGTCCCCTTTGAGACACACACGGGCACCCTCTGGGGAGAGGCCCTCGACGTTGCTTCTGGCCCACAGCTGCTCGACCCCCTTCGCAGGCATGCAACTTTGGCGTGGGAAGGCGATCGCATTTTGCTCGTCGCCTATAGTCCTGCAGGTTGTGGTGTGTTGTCGAGTCTCTCAATGCAGCTCCGCAGCTTTGGTTTCCCCTTGTGGCCGGTTGCTAGTGTCTTGCCGAGTGAGTTGTCGTTGGCTGGCGTCCAGGTGCCCCTTCCAGCTGCCACGCTCAGTCCTGTGGATTTCACCTGTGCGCCTGAGGAAGCGCTCTGCGTGGAGATCTTTTGTGGCCAGGCACGGCTGTCTGCGGCGTGCCGTGAGCTTGGCATGTCTATCCTGCCGATTGATAAAGTTCGCAAAAGTGCGGCTGTTCAGGTCGTCGCTCTTGATCTCACGGATCCCCAGGATCAGCTGGCTTTCTTCGAACTTCTCAGCACAGCCAATGTTTGTGTGGCCCACTTCGCCCCTGTGTGTGGCACGGCGTCGCGGGCACGCGAACGCCCGGCGCCGCCCGGCCTTCAGTTTGCGGCGCGTCCTTTGCGCTCCGGTGCACACCCGCTTGGCCTGCCTGGCTTGCGTGGCACTCAGGCCGCACGGGTTGAAGCGGCGAACGTGCTCTACGCCGTCACATTGGCAGCCATGTGGCTTCTCTGCTTGCGGGGCGCATTGGTGAGCTGTGAGAACCCCACTCGTTCCCTTTTCTGGCGTGTGGCAGACATCATGGCTCAGGACTTGCCTGATCCAATGGCTTGGTTTGCGCTTGTGGACAATGTTTTTGACTCGTGCATGTATGGCGGGGAGCGCCGGAAAGCCACAACATTCCGTGCTTCGCCTGGCTTGTGCGATGTGTTGCGGGCCCGCTGCGACTCCACACATACTCATGCATCTTGGGAGCCGTACAATGGTCCCTCTGGAGTTGTCTACCCATCCGCACAGGAGGCTGCGTACCCACGGCTCTTGGCACAGGCCTTCGCGGCTGCGGCGCACGCAGCGCTTTTGCAGCTTGGGGTTCAGTTCGAGGCTTCCTCCATTGGTGACGGTGTCAAGAATCCTCGGCATTTGCGTGAGTTTGCGAAGCGGCCCTTACCTCCGCTCTTGGCAGAGTATTGGCTGGTCTGTCCTCCACAGTGTGTGCCGCCAGGCGCTGTGTGCAAACCGCTCCCACCGCATGTTGTCTTTCCGAAAAGAGGGGATGTTGTCAAGACTGTCAGCAGCAAGGAGGAAGTGGCAGCATTGTTACCCTTCGCTGAGGAACCTGGGACAGTGGTGGCGCTCTTGGGGGGGAATGCCACGCTAAAGGAACCTTTGGTTGGTGTTTATCGCACTCCAAGTCAGACCGTGAAGGCCACGTCGGTGTTGCAGCATCCTTTGCAGTTGGCTCTTCCTTTGCCTGACAATATGGTTGAGGCAGTCCTAAGGGTTCTTAGTTTAGGGCCTAGTGGTTTGGTTGACCTTCGCTTGAACGTGCTTCGGACTCTCCAATCTAGACGGCGCGACTTGCAGCCTGATGAGAACAAGCTCCATGCGAGTATGCATCCAGATTTGGCTAGGGTCCTTGAGGGCAAGTCGACGTTGCTGTGGGAACAGTTGCTGGCCGAAACCCAGTTTCCAGATCCGGGACTCATCGCAGAGGTTAGGCAGGGGTTCGAACTCGTAGGCCCAGCGACACCGTCTGGGGCGTTTCCAAAAGGGGTCAAGCCGGCGCAGCAAACTATGCCGCAGCTGAAGAGTCAGTGCGTGTGGAGGCGCAAGGCCACGGTGGCGCGCTGTGGCCCGACTGGAGATGGTCGCTCTGACCATGAGCTGTGGAAGCAGACCCTTGAAGAGGTGGATCAAGGCTGGATAGCTGGCCCCTTTGAGGATGAGTCTTCTGTCAGTAAGCATCTGGGCACTAGCGAGTGGTTCTGCACTCGGAGATTCCCGATACTTCAGGGAGAAAAGGTGCGCATCATCGATGATTGCCTGCAGTCGGGTCTAAATTCAGCCTACGCTGCCTTCAACAAGCTGAAGCTTATGGGAGCGGATCACTTCATCTCCTTGGTGCTTTTGTTGATCCGTGCAGCAGCGACTCCGGGGTCCCAAGTCAAGTTGGCTTCGGGCAAGGTCCTTGACGTGGTCCGCCATCCGGGGTGGGGTACAGGTTTGGGCTTGCTGGGAAAAACGCTTGATCTGGCATCTGCATATAAGCAGCTTGGGTGTCGACCCGAAACAGCTTTCAATCGTGTGCTTGTAGCCTGGGACCCTATCCGGGAGAGGCCTGCTTACTTTGTGGGCACGGCCCTCATGTTCGGGGCTACTGCTTCGGTCTTCTCCTTCAATCGCTGCTCTGCTTCCCTTCATCATTTGGCAGTCACCTTGGGCGCCATTTGTTGCACCGTCTACTTTGACGATTTCCCCTGTGTGGAGCCAAGCCTGACCGCGGGATCGTCTGAGGCCTTTCTGGTGGGGCTACTCGAGGTGCTTGGATGGCGCGTAGCCTTGCAGCCCAAGAAGAATGCTCCTTTCTCTCGCGTGTTCGACATGCTGGGCGTTAGGGTTAACCTTGGTAGGGCCGATCAAGGGTTGGTTGAGGTGCGTAATAAGCCAGAAAGGTCTGAGGCTCTGAAGGCGGAGGTCAGCAGACTTTTGGAGCAAGGGTTCATTCGGCGGAGTGAGGCTTCAGCGCTGCACGGCCGACTCAACTTTGCTCAGGGTCAACTGCATGGCTGCCCTTTCAAGCCGGCGATGGCTTTCTTGTCAAGGGTCTCAGTGGAAGGCTGGAAGGAGGATATGTGTACCGACATGGCTTTGTCTTTGGCCTACGTTGCTGCCTGCCTTGAGTGTGAGGTCCCGCGGCTTGTGAAAGCAGTGGATGAACGGCCGCCTGCTAGGGTCTTCACTGATGGCTCATGGGAAGGCCAGGATGGCGGCTCGGGAGCAGTGCTCTTCCTCGGGCCTAGTGACATGGGGTCTGTGGCAGAGGTACACATACCTCCAGACTTGACCCACCTCTGGAGGGAGCAAGGGAGGTCCCAGCTCGTGTCCCAGTACGAGCTCTTCCCAATCCTGGCGGTTCTCCAGCGGTGGGGCGCAAAGCTGGCTGGCCGCAAAGTTATCTTTTTCATAGATAATAATGGTGTGCGTGACTCCTTGATAAAGGGTTCCACTCATGTGCCACACTCCTTTGCAATGCTCGCCATCATTGCCAGTATGTTGCGGGCGCTGGATATCACTCCCTGGTTCACCAGAGTTGCCTCCAAAGGCAATCCCTCGGACGGCCCATCGCGGCATCAGGCAGCTGGAACAGCTCGCGAGCTTGGGGCCACTTTGGAGCGACCATTGGTCGTGGATGACTGGGTGGTCGGGGCACTCCTTTCGTCGCACTCGTTCTTGGGCATTATGGGGAAGTCTGTGGGAAAAGAGGGGGATCTAGGGACTGGCACGTGACATGCCCTCGTGCATCGTAGCATGTGTCGTGGGCGTGTGTGGCCCTTGTGTCTCTGGCTTCTCACTCGGCCTTCGAGCCGGATCACCTGACATACCCCATTCGCCGTGAGTGCGACCGCAAAGGAAAAGGAGCGCTGGAATATTAAATAGGGTGAGCTGATATCTGAAAGAATTTCGGGATGAGCGTTTATATTCTGTGATAATGTACCGTGGGATATACAGTATAATTTTTAGATCAAGACGGACTTCTTCACGGAACGTGACGGTCCTGTCTTGGAAAGAAAAATTATACTGGAATTGTGTGTGGGTGTGTGTGTGTGAGTGAAAGTGCGAAAGAATGGAAATGTTTTGGCGGGTGTTTTTCAGGCTTGCACGGTTTTGATCTTTTTATTTGCATGGGCATGATATGTCAGAATGCTTGTCGCCGTGCTAGTCTGGGCTCATGTGTCATGCAGCTGGGTCGTGTCTTGCAAACACATGTGCACATCGTCGTCGGGCGACATACATGTCATAGTAGTCACGGTCAGCGCTGCATTGCTTTCACCCGCCCGCCCTCCCTCTAGGGACTGGCACGTGACATGCCCTCGTGCATCGTAGCATGTGTCGTGGGCGTGTGTGGCCCTTGTGTCTCTGGCTTCTCACTCGGGGGATCTAGGGACTGGCACGTGACATGCCCTCGTGCATCGTAGCATGTGTCGTGGGCGTGCGTGGCCCTTGTGTCTCTGGCTTCTCACTCGGCCTTCGAGCCGGGGGATCTAGGGACTGGCGCGTGACATGCCCTCGTGCATCGTAGCATGTGTCGTGGGCGTGTGTGTGGCCCTTGTGTCTCTGGCTTCTCACTCGGCCTTCGAGCCGGATCACCTGACATACCCCATTCGCCGTGAGTGCGACCGCAAAGGAAAAGGAGCGCTGGAATATTAAATAGGGTGAGCTGATATCTGAAAGAATTTCGGGATGAGCGTTTATATTCTGTGATAATGTACCGTGGGATATACAGTATAATTTTTAGATCAAGACGTCTTACCCTTCCGAAATACTGGACAGTGAATCGATGCCGAGGGAGTGGCAGTGGATCCCTTGGGCTTGGCGTATGAGCCAAGCTCAGCTTGACGCCTCCCAGCTTCAACGGCCGAGTAAGCTGCCTAAGCTTGACAATCTTTTCGTGGACGAAGTGCCTGTCCGTGACCTTCCACATGGCAACAACCCAGCTTCAGAAGGCATCCTTCGTTCTGTGCTCTCAATTCACTCCAATGCCATAGCCCTGGTGGAAGGTGCACATCTTGGCGTCCTTCGCCTCTATGAGAAGCGTTTCTTGAAGTTGGCCCTGCAGCGCTTCGAGAATGGCTCTGGCTTGCGCTCTGTCAATGTTCAGGAGGCGATGAATGCAGATCGTCGAGCTTGGGAAGTGATTGGTGATTTGCTGGCTCATGGCTGGCAGCTTGACGACGCGATCTCTGAAGTTGTGGAGGTCCGAAACGAGCTGTCCTCAATGCTTCAAGCTCGTCCTTGGATTCCGAAGTTTGAGCCTTCTCGGGGCAAGGGCGGGTTCAAGGGCAAGCCTCCCGGCAAACCTAAGGGTAAGGGTAGGGGGTTTGGCCTTAAAGAAGCTTTTTCAGGCAAGGAACGAACACCCTGGGCAACAGAGATCGTGCGCAACAACGAGGTCCAGAAGATCTGTGTTCAGTACAATCTGCCTTCAGGGTGCCAGCGACCCGCTTGCAAGTTTCTCCATGTTTGCTGTGTTGCCAAGCAGGACGGCACCCCTTGCGGTGGGAAGCATAGTGCAACTCAGCACCGGGCAACCCCTCACTGACTTTCATGTCATGTGGCTTCAGCTCCTTCAAAGTCCTCAGAATTCTTGTGTACAGGCGACATTCTTGCAGGGGCGGCTATACCTTCGAGCAGCAATCCTAAGGATCTGCTGGCCAAATTCCTTGGTGCAAGCGGCTTTTCTTTGCGGCTTTACTTTCGGTCTTGGTGGCATTTTTGGGCGATTTGAACTTTTCGAGGCGTGAGCATGTGGTTCAGTCCACGGACTCTTCAGCTTATCTCAACTTTGGATACCGCTCAGGGACACAGGTCGGCATTTGCAATCTGACTTGGGATTTTCCAGAGCTTGTCTCTTTCATCAACCTTTGCTTGAGGCGAGCTTTCCCTGGGAAGAGTTGGGCTTCGATTTGCGTGTCCCATAACTCTTTTGCAAAGCTACACAGTGATTCAAGGAATTTGTACGGCTCTGAAAACCATGTGCTTTCTCTGGGCCAACATGTCGGTGGCCTTCTTTGGTTGGAGGGTGCATTGGAACAGCCCGCGCCTCCCCCATCTTCTCAGTCCGTGGATTGCTCCGGCGGCCTGGTGAACATTCATGAAAAGCCTTTTTCTTTTAACCCACGTCTTCTTCATGGTTCTTCTGAGTGGGTTGGAGATCGATGGGTGCTGATCGCGTACACCCCGCAAGTTTTCCAATCTGCGTCATCCGAAGATTTATTGCAGCTGCAGTCGCTATCTTTTCCATTCCCTGGGGCTGAGACCACATCTTCGGCGGCACTTTCACCATCGCCATCGCCAGTGCCTTTGGCGTCAGATACAAAGCTTTTCCTGGACCTCTGCTGTGGCTCTTCGGCTCCTTTCTCCACGGCAGTACGTGCGCTGGGTATTCCTTGTCTTGCAGTTGATCCACTTTTTGGGGAAGGTTTGGACCTTCTTCACGATGAGACTTTTGATAGACTTCTGGCTTTGGCTCACAATGGTGTCTTTAAACTGGCACATGCTAGTCCACCCTGTGGCGAATTTTCGCTGGTTAAGCTTCGAGAAGACGGTGGGCCTCGGGCTATCCGCACTCCAGATGAGCCTTATGGCAGGTCTGATCTTACTGATGCAGAGTCCGAACGTTTGCGTACTAGCTTTTCTTTGGCAACCCGTTGCATATCTTTGCTGCTGGCAGTCTTTGAGTCAGGTGGCCAAACCTGTCTTGAACATCCCAGGAACTCTATGCTTTGGCTTTTGAAGGAGGCTCAGTTCTACCTAAACTCCGTGGCGGCTGATGTGGTCGTCACATCCGCTTGCCAGTGGCAGCAGGATTGGTTTAAGCACTGGGCGTTTGCGACATCTCTTCGATCACTTCAGAGCCTGGCTGGCGTTTGCCCACATGGGAAGGATGCACACGCACAGATCTGGGGCGTCAAAGATGAGACTGGGCAGCATCTGTCTCGCTTGACGGCCACGTACCCGGAGAGTTTGGCCAGCGCCTTTGCCCAGCATGTGCTTCCTTTATTTACGCCGCTGCCAGACGCAAACTTCGTTGTCTTGCAGGAATGTATGCAGCTGCTTCCACGCAAACCTATGTCAGCTTCCTTTCCATGTGCTACCCAGGATGGGGGGGGGATCTTCAGCATGCCAGATTGGTCTTCGCCACAGCCAGGCAAGGATGATGTCCTACGTGAAGTACGCCACAAGCTACATGCAAAGCTTTTGCAGCTTCGTGCTCCACAACGCCTCCGGGAGCATGTAGCAAATAATACAAACTCCCCGCTGTTCACTTCAGAGGAGGTTTTCGAACTGCGTGCAATTTGGGATGCGGTTTTGGCACCATCTTCTGGTTTGGATTGGCAAGTTTCGGTTGGGCAGCCTTATTCTCTGTCAGCTTTGGAGGCTGTGGCATCCTTCATTTCTGATAAAGATGTGTCGCTATGGCCATGCTTGCATGATGGGGTGCCGACAGGGTACCGTCGCAATATACCTTTGTCTGGGGTTCTGATTCCGCTGGAGTCAAACGACTTCGATCCGCCACCTCTTCAACACTGCACTGGTAACTGGAGTGAGGCAGAAAAGGATCCGGATTTGTTCCGTGAGCTCATTGAGCAGGAGGTGGCTGCTGGCTTCTTGGAAGAGGTTGGTTCACTGGAGACGGCGCAGTCACGTTGGCCGAATCTCACTGCCGTGGGCAAGTGCAACATTGTCAAGCATCCTAAAGCTCCTCGCTTGATCATGGACAGTTCTATATCCAATACAAATGCTGGTTGCTACATTCCGGAGCGCTACATGATGCCGTCTCTGCAGGATATTCGTGCATCATGGCCCCTCAGGGGGGATGATACAGATTTTCTGGCATTCGCAATGGATATCAAGGGGGCACACAAAACAATCCGAATACACCCAGACGAATGGGGCCTCAATATGCTGCAGCTGGCGTCCACATGCTTTGCATATAAATGCTGCCCGTTCGGCGCAGCGTTTTCAGCCTTTTGGTGGACTAGGCTTTCAGCCTTCTTCATACGATTCCTGCATTTGCTGATTTTCTTGAAGCATTCCCTGTGCGCTTACGTGGATGATTTTTACATGGTTCAACCTTGCGAAGTGGCAGCTTTGACATCGTCGATGATACTTTCTGTGTGCCAGTGCGTCAATATACCTCTCTCGTGGGCCAAATTACAGTTTGGTGCACGTGTGGTTTGGATAGGCTGGTCGTTTAACCTGCGCTCACACTCCTTTCATCTGCCATACGAGAAGCTCGAGAAACTGCGTGCAATGCTATCGGCACTGCTCAAAGGCGACTTCACTACGCGGCATGAATTGGAGATCGTTGCCGGTTATTTGCAGTGGGTTTTCCAGATGCACAAACTGCTTAAGCCTTGGTTGTCATGTTTGTACGATGACATGCGTCGTCCAGTTGCAACTTCATACTCCGTGGAGCCTTCACAGTGGATTGAGCTCATTTCATGCATTTCAGATGACCTTCTGGTCCAGCGGCAATTACCTGGCGCAGCGCTCCCTCTTGGTGGTCGTCTTCTTTCGGTGAAACATCAGGCCTTGCGCAGCAAAGCAGATCTACGACGTGTTGGTGTTTCACCAAAGCGTATCTGGCTTCGCATCACCAATCCTGCATCATCCAAGCGTCGACTTTCGCATCAATCAAAGGTCTTCCTGCGATACTGGCAGCAATGGGCACAGATGCCTTTCTTTTCACGCCCACTGGCTATGCCGCCTCGCTGGCTCCCAGACGCTTTCGCTGCAGATGCCTGCGCTTCTGGCAACAAGATTGGGATTGGCGGCTTCATCAAGATGGGGGATGCACCTGCAGTGTGGTTTTCTGAGGTATTCAGCCTTCGTGCTCTTCAGAAACTGATCTCTGATCTACCGTCAGTTGCACAAGAGGCCATCACGTGCTGGGAGACTTTGGCCCAAATGGGGCTTGTTCTTCTTTTGGCTTCATGCTTTCCTGGCGGACGACTTAAGATCTGTGTACCTTCTTGGTGCGACAATACTGGGGCGGAATCTACATCGAACAAGTTGTTCTGCACATCTCTTCCCCTGGCTTTCTTTGCGCAAAAGCTTTCGCTTCTTTCTTGGCATACTGGCATTTCTCTGGATGTTCATCACGTTGCTGGTTTCGAAAACACTATTGCTGATCATCTGTCACGGTGGATGGAAGGCGAGGAGCTGCCATCTGGTTTTTCATTGGATGATCGTTTTCGGCTTTCATGGGAAATGCTTTGGCATTTCAAACCTGATGTTCGCATCTGGCCTGAGTCACACGGCCTTCTTTGGCAACCGCAATCTTTTGCTTTTTCTTGATTGCAAAGCAGTCAGATCGGCAGCCACTTCAGTGGTTGGGTTCAATGTTTAGCGTCTGCTCTTTCTGACTTGTGGTGGCAGTTACACTTTTGGGGTTGGCTCTCGACACCTTCAGCTTCAGCTTGCATATTTAGCTTTCATCTTGATTCCAGATTCTTGCTGGCCGCCACCACTCGTCAAAAAGAAAGGGACTTGTGCGAGAGAGCTCTGCAGGTTTTATCTTAGCTTGCTGGTGCTTAGAAATAGGGGTCGGGTAGAACTGTTCGTGTGTTTACTCACAGCTGTTTTACACGACGCCTTTTCATGCACTTTGGGAAATCTTTGCTTCCTATTTCTTAGCACCAGCTGCTCGAACATGTCATGCGCTTGGTGTCCAGTTCGAAGCACCCACCTCTCCCTCCCTTGGGTTCTGTACTTTAGCTTTAAGCATTGCCTTCGCTTTACGCTGTGGTCCCTCTTTCCCGGTTCGTTTCCCTTCGGATGGGGGGGGTTGGCTCTCGACACCTTCAGCTTCAGCTTGCATATTTAGCTTTCATCTTGATTCCAGATTCTTGCTGCCCGCCACCACTCGTCAAAAAGAAAGGGACTTGTGCGAGAGAGCTCTGCAGGTTTTATCTTAGCTTGCTGGTGCTTAGAAATAGGGGTCGGGTAGAACTAAAAAGGGTAGGTCGCTGGGGGGGGGGGGGGTAGGGGTGCATATATATATTTATATATGTATATATGGATATATATATGTATATGTTATATGTATATATGTATATATATATGTATACATGTATACATGTATACATGTATATGTATATGTATATTGTATATATATGTATATGTATATATATGTGTATATGTATATATGTATATATATATATATGTATATATGTATATGTATGTATATGTAATATGTATATATGTATATATGTATATGTATATATATGTATATATATGTATATATATGTATATATATGTATATATATGTATATATATGTATATATATATATGTATATATGTATATATATGTATATATGTATATATGTATATATGTATATATATGTATAATATGTATATATGTATGTATATATGTATATGTATATATGTATATATGTATATATGTATATATGTATATATGTATATATGTATGTATGTATGTATATGCGTTTATATTATATATGTGTAGTAATATCGTTTGTTCTTTTCGGGTTTAAATTGCAGAGTATGTTGTTCATGAAGGAAGTAATTCCAATGATGTCAATGATATCCCAAAACTAACCTCCAAAAAACACAAAGTATTGAGGTTTTTGAACATGGACTCACATACATGAAACGATCCACGTGTAGTTTTGGCTTAGTAGGGGTATTAGGGGTTGAAGCAACAAGGAGCCCCGGCCTCGACAAAAAATTGAGAACACCGTGTTTCTCTGCTCGTCTCGGTGCGGATGGCGGTGGAACAAAGGCGCACGGGTCGTTTTGGTGCTCCAAAACGATGGCAATCGAAGTGCCTTGTTTTGGCCTTAATGGTTGGGTGTGGCATGGGCACCGAACGAAACTGGAGCTAAAACATTTGGTGAAGAAGTCTTCGGCCCTTCGGCTTTTTATCCTGGAAGCAAATGAAGGCCATTTCGAGGCGTGACGCGGAGATGCTATTACAGCTTTGAAGACATTTGGAAGCGCGGAGAAGCATACAGAGGTGTGAATGAAGTTAGAGACGTAAGGTTGGGAGACGCCAGGAGTCTTACAAAGAGGCATGAGGAGGTTCAGGGGCATAAGGAGGTTGAAAGGCACAAAAGGGGCTTGGAGGCATGAGGATTGGAGGTGTAAAAAGGGCCTAGAAACCTCAAAAAGCTTAGACTATGATATGTGGACGTGCTGCGACTGCGGCGGCAGCAGCTTTGCAGGCTGTTTTCTGGAATACACGCAGCATTGAACAGCTGAGAGGGTGGGTCAGATTGGGTAGAATGCACTGGTGGCATTTGTCCCAGACAGCGCAGGCGAAGGAGTACGACCTAGCTGACAAGACGAAGCTGGCTGACTTCCTGGAAGATGTGGACATCCGTTTGGAGGCAGGTTTGCGCGCACGAGGTGGTACGTTGTCAGGTTCATGCGTCTCTCCGGTCGCGAGTTGGAAGCTGGATCTGTGACAACATACCTGGCTAGGCATACCCTTCAAGACTTAAAGGCACAAAGCCAAAAGTCTTTCAGCCGTCGGTTTATAACGAGAATTCCTTACCGGCTCTGCTTGCCAGGGCGGCCCGGGCACGCGGAGGATCTCCAAGGATGCCCTCCACATCCTCGTCAGGAACCTTGCAGGCCGGAAGCAGAACGGGCGAAAACGCCAGGGAATTTCCGTCCGTCTCAAGCTTGACATGTAGGTCGGCTGTAGAATGCCCACCCTATTGATTGGTGAAGCCCAGTGCTGTGCACATCAGGCGACCGTTTCACCGTGGACATGCTGCAGGCAGAGACTGCGTGCCCAATTTGCAACAGCATGCATCCGAGCGCCTGGGTCAGGGCATCTGGCAAGAGGTTAGTCCAGATCGCCGGAAGCCCAGCCATAAGAATCCATAAGAGCCCCATCAGAATGATTTCGGAAACCCGATTCGTGGTGGATGCTTCCGTGCGGAGGCGAGGGGCTGCTGAGCTGCGAGGAGTTGGCAAACTGCCTCCGCCGCCTTGATCCAACTTTTGAGCTGCAAGAGGCAGGGTGTGGGGTGAGCGTTCCGCAACAACAATGTCACGCCTTGCCTGCGCCAGCCCAAGCGCTACGACCTGGCTCAGAAGCAGGGGCTGGCAGACTTCCTGAAAGTCGCTGACATCCGCCTAGTGCGCACCCCCGGCTATGGGGTTGAACCATGCTGGGATCGTCCAGTCTAGCAATAGCATAGTTTCAAAGGGATGTAGTGGTCAATGCCGCCATAACGGATGGAATCCTGGCCGCTCGAGGTGCGAGCCGACTTCCTTCTGAAGCTGCACCGGGAAGGACAGCGGCTCCCACGCCGCCAGGAAGCGGAGTCCGCTTACGTGGAAAGCCGGACGGCGCTTGTGACGCACGAGGAGGTGCGGTACGTGGTTTGTGTGCTAAAAATCACTGTGAATCTCCAACCCAACCCCGCCCCAAAAAGCTTTTGACTGCGACAACCGCACCATGTTGGAGGCAGCCCTAAGCATGCTTCCCTCCTTGTCCCATTGATCATCACCGTTTGGAGGTCCAAGCCTGGGCCGATGGCAAGGCGCCTGACGGCACCCAGATAGTCTCACTTTCCCATTGCTGGGAGTCGCGCGAGCACTGTGATCCGTACGGATACCAGGTTTCGAAGCTGGCCAAGGCTCTTACGGGAAAGGAGTGGTTTTTTATCGATTATGTGTCCTTGTTTCAGTTCCAGCGACTCTCCCAGAAGCAGAATGTCAGCTTCGGGCGTGCGATGCAGCACATGCATGTGCTGTACTGCCACGACAAGACGAGCACTCTCCGAATTGAGTCTCTGACGCCGGAGGCAGACATAGCAGAAGCCGAGCGGAAGCAAGAATGCGTGATGATGTACCACCACCCCACCGGCCTGGTGAAGCCAGTGTCTGTGACTAAATTGGTCAAGAACCGCACGCCGTACAAGCAGCGTGGGTGGTGCGTTGCTGAGAGGGAGTGGTCTAGCACTCGAACAGCCACTAACCTTTCGCGTGAAGTAGACTCTCCCGAAGGAGAGAAAGGGGGAATCGCCCCGATGGTGCCGGAGGCATTTCGTAAAGATGTCTCAGGCCGGCTCAAATTCACACATTTAGATGATGTGGAGACCGTCTGCAGATTGCAAGCGGAAGTGTACAAACAGAAGGCAGAGACGTGCAAGAGCCTCAGGCTCGTAGATTTGGGTGCAGAAGCACTCGAGATCGGCCTGTCTTCTCTGGAGCGCTACCCGCTCTTGGAGAGCCTCGGCACGCAAAGCACTTCCCATGGCTAGGCTTGGAGCGCCTCGATGATGCCTATCGAAGACGAAGCCAAAGCAGCCTTGGGGCTAGACCGCGGTGACTTTCAGGAGCCTGGAGATCGTCCACTGCGAGCTCAGCAAGAAGCTCCCACTGCTGCTGCAGGCCTTGGGCTGGGGGGGGTGTTCGCTGCGACTCTTTGCCTAGGGAATTGTGCAGTGCAGGCTGCATGAATGTGCAGGTGCATGTGATTCGATACGGATTGAGCACGATACGCCGGCTTACACTTGTGCACTTCCGAATTCATATGCACCTCAGGCAGAACTCAGCCGCAACACCACCTCTGGCAGGTCATCCAGAAGAAGAAGCTTGCACAGCTTCACCTGCAGCACAACGAGCTTTTTGAGGAGGACACCCGCCAGTTCGTCGAGGCGCGTCGCCAGTTGCGGATGGGCTTAAATTGAGTGGAAGGATGCATCATGGAAGCTCAGTGCTTTTATAGGTGTGTGCACACCACAGCTGGAACAGCGCGACGCTGCACTCCAGGCTTTGGCTTTGCAGCCCAACGGAACGCTTGAGGCACTGAGCCTCAACCATGAACGCATCGACGTCGCTGCTGTCAAGGCTTTGTCCGAGGCCTCGAGCTCGAAGAGTGGGATCGATTTGGTGGCATTCGAAATACGATAGGAAGATTCGCGGTAGGAACACAGCATAATGGCCACCGACTGGCGAGCACACTTCACAGAGCTTTGGCTCCGCAATTGCCACATCCTTCCGCGCATTCCTTTGTGGGCAGGCAATCAATCAGAATCAGACCCTGAAGCAGCTGAGTCTTGCGGGAAACAACATTGAAGTCGTGGAGGAAGGCGCTTTCGCCCTTCTTGAGGCTGGCGGTTACTCTTGTACTTGCCGAAAGCTCACCGCCAACCCAAAGCATCTGAACCTTCTCTCCCCCAACCTGCAGCTATCTGCAGCTTGTGAGCAAGCGCAGCGCTAAACTTTCGAGGACCTTCGAGGGAGTCTCGAGCACCGCCCTGCAGGCGCTTCGGGTGAGCGGGGTCGAAGCCCAGCTTGATCTGACCGACAACGATTTGGGCCAGGCGGCCCTAGCAATGGCCAGGGCCTTGCGGTCCCGCGAGGCGGGGCGATGAGAGATCGTGGCGTTTCTTCTTCCGTCTCTTGTTCTCACAACATCTTCCTATCTTCTCTCGCTGTGGCTGCCCTTTTCTTCAGGTGAAGGGCACCATCGCCCACCCCGTGGTGGAGTTCTTGTGCAAGTTGGAGGCTCGCTCCCTCTGAAGTTTGGTGGCAAGTTCTTCATAGTTCTTCATCCATTCGGGCCGGAATTAAGTCGACGCCAGTCGCCCAAAGGCACAGTATCTTATCTTAGCTTCAGGGTGTCGGGTTTCTGCCTCAGGCGCAGGGTCGAGGGGACAAACTTCTGCATTTTGGGTTCAGCCTCAGGCCTTGCTGTTTGCTTCCTTGCAAGACAAGGCGAAAACACTTCAAAGAGACAACAAAGCAACTAGAGAACGAGTGTGCCGAAAGCATTGAGAGCAGCAAAGCAGTACCAAGTAACACCGAACATCATAACATGCATTCATGCCAAGCCTTACATAAACCACCTTTCGTTACTTTCGTTTGGTTTTATTTATTCTCTGGGGGGGCAGGGGTGGGTTAACAGCTCTGTGCCTTGCAACTGTATTGTTGAACTGTTCTTCCCTTGGGGGGATGATGATTCTAGGGCTTTTAGGGTTTGAGGGTTTGCAGCTTGCTCGGCTTTTCTCGGGTCTTTGACCCTAAACCCTAAACCCTAAACCCTAAACCCTAAACCCTAAACCCTAAGCCCTAAACCCTAAGCCCTAAACTAAACCCTAAACCCTAAACCCTAAACTTAACCCTAAACCCTAAACCCTAAACCTTAAACCCTAAACCCTAAACCCTAAACCCGCTGGCAGGACCAACAATTCAAGGAGTTGGACGAAGAGCAAAGGCTCGAGCTCGGTGGCAACGGCACGCCGGCTCAGCTCTGAGGAGCCGAGGCTTTCGAGGTCAGAGACGGGCCCTGCATGTCCGAGGCCGCCACCGCGAGCTCTTGGAGCCTCTCCTCCGGGCCCTGCCACGGCTGCCACCGCTCCGAGAGCTCCGGCTACTGCTCGGCGGCAGCAGCATCAGCCCCGCCCTCGGTGGTTTTCAGTGGCGCGGCGCATAGTCTCCGCCTGGGCAGGCACGGGCGTGGCCCGGACCCTGGCCACGGGCCTCGCCCAGCACAACGAGCTGGAGCGGCTAGTTTTGGGCTTGGGCCAGAACTGCCTGGGCCGGGGTCCCAGCCCTTGGTTGACTCCGACTCGGCTCCAGCGTATCCCAGCGGCTTCACACCCGCCGTTTCTGGCAATCCTGCAAAGACGAACCCATCCATGTACTCGTATCCGTTCTCAGAGGCTTTTTTTGTCTTGCTTTTGTAAACTGCATCCAGCCGGCGATGTCATGCCAAACCAAGCTCATCCCAGCCTGCACCCGGACGGACTCGACTCCCGTGACGTGCTTCAGGGTCTTGGATTCACACGGCGGCTTCCGTGAGGTTTGCCCGAAAACCCTCAAAGGCACTTGAGCGACTGGCTAAATCCCGCGCCTCTCTGGGTAGCTTTGGGCGGACATTAGCAATTTGATACCCCCGAATATCATCGTTTTGATTGAGAAAGCGATACTTAACCCCAAAAACGCTATCTTCATTCAATGAAATGTCCCAATCGTGGCCTCTCGCGTGCTCATTTTGCGTCTGAGGGGACGCATGGAAGCAGCACTTTCTGCAGTGACGGCCCCGGGCACCGAGGCGACCAGGGCGCGCAGTCCCTGGCCTCCGCCCTGGAAGAGCTCACGCAGCTGCAGACACTCGAGTTGTCCCTGCGCAAGAACATGATCGGCCCGGGGCCTCGGAGGGCGCTTTGCTCGGACCTTTAAAAGATCGAAGCATGAGGGGGCTGCAATCGCATTGAAGGAGGTGGGGCGCTTCAGCTTGGGGCCCTCTCTCGCCCGAGGCCTAGCAGGCGCCGCAGCCGTGGTGGGAAGCCTGCAGAAACTGCAGCAGCTCACAGAGCTCACGGTTTCGCTGCGTCACAACGAGCTCGGCCTGGGCCTCGGCACTCGCTCCGGAGGAGATTCGGGGTCGTGTCGTCCTCCGGTCCACAGTAGTGCGGTGCGCTGGCTTTGCATTCAAAGATGGGGGCGATGTGGGAAGTGCTTCCTTCAAATCCTGCATCGGTCGCCATCTATGCTTAGAGTCACATTGAGTCATATTTATTGCCAGCCTTGTGGCCTGAAGGATGCCAAAGAGCCATGTCAGGCGCTTTGTTCAAGCATCTTGTGCTCGCCACACAAATCATGCCCAGGCGAGACAGAGGAGAAGAACCTCCGGGCCACTTTCAATGCGCTGCCGGTAACCAAGAAGAAACTCATTTTTGCATCCCAGGCCCGGCCGGTCGTCGATCGGGTGGTTTGCGGGGGGGGGTTCGTGGCTTCGACTCCTGCCTGGGACCCTTTGAGGCCTCCGCGTGCTGCTCGCCTTGCTGGTGTGCCGCCGAAAAAGCCAACTTGCCTAGCTTTCTTGCAGTGGCGGCTTGGCCGTCAAACGGGCCACCGCTGTAGTAATGCACATGCAAATGAAGATTCTGGTGCATTCTGGTGCTGGTTAGGACTGGGTTCACCGCAGGGTCAAGTCGAGGTATTTGCGATTTCAGGCACTCGGTGTCATGCATCGACCCCAAGGTGTAGTGTTCGAAGCTGAAGAGGTCTCTGCCGGAGGTGCGGCCTTGCATTCTCCCGGTCCCGTTTGGCCCAAGGGCTGTCACGCAGCTTTTAGAACAGCGCCGTAACCGCGCCCTGAGCCCTCACCCGGTTAGCAAGCCTTGGATGCTGAAGCCCCAGCAATGTGAACGTACTTCGTAGACGGACAGGAGGTCCAGGTACTCTGAAAGTCACATTGCGACATGCTGCAACAATTCTCAACACACAGCTTGCATTGCTTTTCCCAGCATATGGGCTGCGGAGCCAGCAGGTATGCCGAGCACCGTTGTCGCAATCATAGATGTTGGGTGCTTCTATGACTTCCTGACCTAACCCTAAACCTTAAAACCCCAGCTGGCCCTAGCATGAAACTCTGAGCTCCAAAATGTCCTCTCGAACATCCGCTGGCTGGATCTCGTATCTTCGAGAAGCTTAGGCTCTGATGATCCGGTTGAGGCGGTTGGAGCATCTGAGCTGTTTGTAAGTCTGGAAGAGCAGAACGCACGTGTCAATCTCGTTGCTTTAGGATCGGGAGGTTGGTGCTGTTTTTCTTGGTGTGGGGCTGTTAAACTGGAGGCTCCGTAGTTCAGGTCCTTCGGTAGCGCTGCGAGTCTATGAGCCTGCCTATCGCGCAGGTCTACGTAGGAGTCTTTTCGGCCTGACTCCAAAAGGCCAGCCCTTGAAAGTTTTAACACTTTGTAACGAATATTCTCGGCATCCACTTGCGAGAGCGGGCTAGGCGACTGAGAGGAGGTCCTTCGGCAGCGCTAGGTCACTGAACCTGCCAGGGGTCTAGGAAGTTTCAGCCTGACTCCGATAATTAGCGCTTGTCGAGTTTCAAGACTTATCCGCGGCATCCACTTGCGAGAGCTGGCTGGAAAAGCGGCGATGGGCGACTGAGAAGTTCTTGGGTGTTGCTAAGGGGGGCGTGCCTACATTGAAACGTTATTTCGTGGTGAGTGCGACGGCTTGGTCGCATCGTGGCCGTTGTTGGGGAGCTCTAAATTCTCCTGGAACATCGAGGCCATACAGACCTTATCTACAGAGCAGCTCATGATAGCTCATTGTGCACAGCCGGATTTAGGGAGGTCAAGTTCACCTTTTATGCATTCGTGCAGTTCTGTTTTTTCATTGCAGCTTGGAAGATTCATTGATGAATCGAAGATTCTTCAACAAGACTCAACGTGTTGACATTCCCCATGGTCAGACTGACAAGCCATGCGTGTGTGAGATCGCAGTTGTAGCAATCGCTGCTTAACAAATAGAGTTCAACGTTCAACTGAGCCACCATCTCTTGTTTTTGTGCACGATGGCAATATTTCCATGCAAGAGCACATGACCACTAAAAAGTACATTATAGTATACTGCGTTCAGACCGGGCAGTGTTTGTCAAGTCCGTGGCCCATGGATCATGATTGCTTCCGGCACGGTCTTTCCGCACAAGGCATGCCCACTTCTGACATTGCTTGTAACCCATGGTCTTGGCCAGAGGTTTTTGTCACTCGAGCTGGCCAAAGACAAAATCACTGCCATTGCCTGGTGCCCGTTTCATTGTCACTTGGCCGTATTGTTTAGCCAATGTTTTAGGACATGGTGGGCATGTTTTTGCAAGCTGGACGGGAAGGCTTGTTGGATGTCGACTTGTGGATTTTCCGGGGCTTGGAGCTACAAGGCACGCGATGATGCTGCAAGGCGCATGCGTGTTTTTGTGCTCTGCCAAGCAACTGAGTCATGTCCAGGTCTCCGCATGCCCGGGGAAAGGCAGCTCCCCAGAGGCGCGGCAAGTACCTGAAGTTGAGCGAAGCCGAAGCCGTAGCGAAGAGAGCCCAGCAAAGTGCTCTCGTCGCCTCCTCGTTTCTTGAAGACAGAGGCTGCGAAAAGCACTGCGCAGAGGAGGGCGAGTGTTTCGAGATATCTCCAAGGCCTTGGCTTGGTGTGGAGTCCTACGTGTTGTTCGTGTTGTTTACATCGTACTTGCTAGGTTTCCTACTTGTAACATGCAATGAAGTTGTGAGGGCTTGCTCGGTGTGTTGACTCTCCATTTTCCACTTCAAGTTTAGGATAGCGCGATGCATCGCCATGCGATTGTCGCAGCCACGGGATCCCAAGCTTCGTTGATGTGAGAGAAAGGGGTGCATGGACGTCAAGCGTGCCCGCCTTGCGGATGGTGAGCGTAGGCACGAGGCTCCCAATGCCACGCTTATAAGTCAAAAGAAGATGCATCGGCAGTGGCATTTTTCATTACATGCCTTGAATTTTGGCTTCTGACAACTGTCAGGAAATAGCCAGCCGAGTCGAAAATGCAACTGCTGGTGATGGCGAGGTGCTGGCTGGGAGCGCGGAATTTCGACTGAGGATGTTTGCTTGTGATGCTGGGCAGGGGCGCTTCGTGCTTTGGGCAGACCGGGAGGACACAGCAAACACTCAAAGTCTGATAGTTTGGGGAAATGCTATCAGAGGATGACACTGACATGTCCGTGGACACACTTGAGTCGATGTACATTGGCCAGGTGCTGTCAAGTTTCGAAAAAACTCGCTGCCTTTTGCTGCCCGATGCTGTAGATTCCGAGAAGTTGGTTGCTTCGTGCGCTCCAGGCTCACAGCGCTTGGCGTGGTGTCCCGTTCGGATCCTTTCTTTATATTGGGGCCGGAGCGCGCGAGTTGAACTGCAGCACAGCGCAAGTGGCTCGCAGAAGTAAGGAAAATGCGCCTTTGATTGGCAGATGTATGCGATGATGCCTCCTGTCAAGTGACATCAGAGCCCATTTCGGGGTTGGGTTTTTTTCAAGGTATGCTTCAGGCCCTAAATGCAAGGTATGAGTCATTGTACATGGAGCGTGAAGGATCGATGAGTTGCGGCCACGCACAATCATTGACATTGGCTCTTGGGCTGGTGGCAGCGCGCGAATTGGCCGAACATGTGGGTTTCGCTGACCATGTTTTTTTGCGTTCTTGAGTCAGGCTTTTCTTTGCGGATTTCGGCCAGATGTTGGTGGGCGATGCGTTTAAGAAAGTTGCGCCTGGTTTTGAAATTAGTTTTGGAGCTGGTTGAATCGGCTTGAACTCTCGAAACTGTCAATCTGAGGTCAGCTTGGATGTCACCTTGAACAATGTTCGCAGCATGACGGCATCTCAAGTCTACTTGTAAGGACTTGCTGGATCCATCTTTGGCAGTGCTAGGAGTGGGCAAAGAGACTCTTCTGAAGCAACTTTTTCTTTGCTTCCACTTGTCGATGGTGCTGGCTGATCTGGCAGATTCGCGGCCCTGTTGCGGGAAGATGCCATCATGTGTAACAACTATGCACCTCGTGATATGTAAAGCAAGACCCTTTCGCGACGCCTGCAAAGCAACTCCAGCCGCCCAGGCTAACAGCGTAGAGAAAAACCCGCGCAGCAAGACCACCGTACAGACACATCATCAAAGAAAGCAGCACCATGGGTCATTGAGAACAAAAGACGAATGAAATAAACTTCGGCGAACTTTCGTGTGGAAAAGCTGAGCAGGCTCGCGTTGGCCGCGCCTCGCCGACACTGCGGACGCTGAGCGGCGCGGACACGTCGCTTGCGCCGCCGAGCGTGCGTGAAGGCGAGAATGGGCGAGCTGACCCGAGCGCGCCATGTCCTTACTGCGGCGGATTTGGCGTCCGGAAATGAGACGACCTACCGGGCCCTCGCGGACCCCGCGCGTCGCCCGCCGGAACCGCGCACCGCCATACCGGCCACGGCTCTGCAGTACGAACCGGCGCAGCCAGTCCGCCTGCCTGCGAAGGCTGTAGCTGCCGCGCTTCGTGACGCTCGCAGTTCCGGCATGCGGGCGGAGCACCTGAAGCTGTTGCTGCAGGACCTCGACGCGGTGGACCTCTTCGCGGAAGCCGCGACCCACCTGGCGCCAGCACAGGTCCCCGCTGACGTCGCTGATGGTCTTGCGCGAACGCGGCTGACAGCTTTGCGGAAGGCGGATGGAGGGGTACGAGGCATCGCTGCCGCTACCGGGACACGTTTCGCCGCCTGGTGTCACGCACCCTCGCAAAGGAGGGGCCGGGACCTTTGACCGAGCCACGCGCCCGTATCAATTTGCGCTGCAGGCGCGGGCCGGCACGGATGCTGTAGCAGCCCATGTCCGGGCCGCGCTAGCGCTGCGCCCGGACACGGTACTGGTGTCGCTTGATGGACGCAGCGCATACGACTGCATGTCCAGGGCAGCCTTCCTCGCCAAACTGCACGAAGTCGCGCCTGAGCTGCCCCAGGCGGGCGCGCTGGCGCCTGGCTCAGAAGTCCGATGCAGGCGAGGAACGTGTCCCAGATGGCGGCATCATGGGCTGCAGCGTATGCCGCGACTTCCTGGGGTGGCACTGTGCGGAGCGCGTCGTTGCAGCGGGGCGACGCGCACAGTGCCAGCAGCAGCCGCGCGCACAGCAGATGTTGTCAATTCGTTACGTGACATTTTGCACAACATCGTGTTGGTGGCCAATATCTGACGTGATGCATCGGCGTGTGAGATGTGACATGACCCATGATCCATCATCCTCTCAGGGGCACGTGAGGACTACTGATTCTGTTTTGTGTTATTGCACGTTATTGCACCTGGTGTGATTGTATTGCGTATTCGTACTTGCAAATTGATGTCATGATCACGAATGTAGTTTCACTTCTGACTGTGTTTCACGGTCGTTCAAGGACAGGTCTTTGGCCACCATCCTTTCTTGCATGGCCATCTGCCCATCACCGTGGCCTCAATCACCCATGCTTCTGTGGGTACGATGACTGGAGCCTACTTCATGCCTTGCGCACGTGCCCTTTTGTTTCGCTCTGGAGACGCAGATTGGTACAACGCCTGCCATCTCTTAGCTGGATTTGGGATGCACTGTCTGACGACAGCCTTTTGCGGCTCGTTTTTGCACCGCAGGAGATGAGCAACACTCGTTCATCCACGAATGCCCACGCGCTCTACGTTTGCAAGCGTTTGCCGAGCGCAGCGATCTTTGCTTGAGGGGCTTAGAGTCTTATAGCCTTGACGTGGCTGTTGTACCATCACTCCGTGGTTTATATTATGTTTTCTTGCTGCTTTCCGCACCAGTCGTATTGATTCTTGCTTATTCATTTTTTGTACCAGGACGCATGCTGCTGACGTGGCCCATTCTATGTGCAAATGATTACATGTGCTTTGTTTACTTTTTCATAATTTTTCGATAGTCACTGACCGCAAATCGGTTGTTTCAGGACCCATGCGGCTCTGCCCACACTGCGGCAGCGCTCCTGCGCGAACGTGCCGCCGTATGGTATGTGATGAGCGCGCGCTCAAGGTGCACCTCTCAGCCTTCAGACCACATCTCAAGCCACGCCGGGCGTGCAGCTGCCATGGCCATTTGGGCGCGGCTCAAAAGTCTAGATATGTGACTGGCTCCCGGGCATCTTTCCGCGACATAGGGTTTGTAACAAAGCCGTTCTGCTTGCGACAAGCAGCGTCCGCGACAAACCTCCGCGACAACTGCAACCTTCGAATACGCAGGCATTTAGACAACACGCGAAACAGCCGCAACAAACCCCGCGGCCTACGTGTGAAACAAGTGGGCGCGACATAACGTATGTTACACAGGCGGGGGTCGGGACACCGCACAGCCATTTGGATGCCTTGGGGGGTACCACCGGTCATTGTGCACCACTTCCGGTATCCTGGCCCCACGCGTGTTGCCGCTTGAGCGCGCAATTGCCCGTGTTTGCCGGGAAGCGGGAGGACGGGTTTGCCACAACGTGCGACTGGCGGACATGAATGTCGATGAGCCAGATGCATGCCGTATTGAGGTCGTGGCCAACGGCCTTTCGCTGTGGAATGGAGCAGCTTGCAGGTGACGCTACCCTCGTCGCCCTTAGCGGCCTCTGTGCACCTGCCGAGGCCGATCAAAGGTACGGGCAGTCTAGTGCTGGGGCATCGGCAGGCGGCTGGGCTGTGGGTGCCAGCGCGCGTCGGCCAATACCCTAAACTTCGTGGAGGTTTGGCGTCCTTCCGTCCAGCAGCTCAAGGAGTGCGCTGGCGTATATGCGCGCTGCCGCCACCGAGAAGCCTGTTCAGCGCGCGACCCAGGCTGCTTGCGCCGTCGGAGTGCAGCGGGGACGCCGGTCGGAGTGCAGCGGGGACGCCGTCGGCCCGGTGCCATGCCAAGAGGCGGAGGAAGCGGGCGCCGCCAACCTGGACTGCAAAGCGGCCACCAACCTCGACTCCACTGGTCAGCAAGCGGCAGCGCCGGGCGCGCGCGAGCTCGGGGGTTCGTTTGCTGCTGTTCCGGCGCGTTGCGGCTTGGGGGGGAATAGAAGAATTCCTCGGCACAAGCTTCGCGAAGCTGACGGTCTTCGTTGGGTCCCGGTGGACGTTGCAGGATTGTGATTGTGCTGCCGAAGGAGTACGGCGCAGCCCAAATACGACGAGCGCATGGCCATGACCACACGGTGTCGTCATCCGGGACAACAGCACAGCAGCAAACGGGACAACACGGGCGCGACATCAACAGTTTTTTTTGCTGTCATGCTGCCCCACCAACGAAGATGGCGTAATTAAGCATGATATATATGATATCACGTAGCGCTGGCGAAGGGAAGCCTATCTCCTTTGCTTTTTGTTTTTCTTCCGATCGCGGTCCCAGTGCAGCAGACCACCGAGCCCTACCGAACCCACAACCCGCCTAACCACCGACCCGGGCTCACCCCAAGCGAGAGGCGAGCGGCGGCGATTCAGCCGAGTCAGCGAGGACGTCGCTCAGGAGAGGCGCGTTTCCGTCAAGGTTCGCGGTGCTGGGGATGGGCAGGGACAGCAGGCTGGCAGCGAATGAGCGGGCAGCTGCGATGGACCAAAACCCTTTTGCTTTGCGTCGCGGAGTGCTAGTGCGACTGGTGAGCCGCACCACGGGTGTGCGCCTGATTGCACCAGGCATTCCACGGCAGCTGACCAGACCGGCGGTGTCGTAAACGTAGCCATGGCGGCGAATCACGAGAAGATTGTGTTACGTACGAAAAAGCAACGTTAGTGCTACTGGTGGGTCCACCTGGAGATGTCTCGAACCTAAGTTTGAGTTCTCCCAGTGACCGGATTGTGTGCAGAAAATTCAATTTCCGCAAGGAGGTTTCGGGGACTGGCCCCATTGCTGGCAGCACCACGCGCAAAGTCAAAGATTGAGAAAAGTAAGTTTGAAGTTTTAAGTCATAAGTCGTTAGTCCAAAGCCACAAGTAGCACGTTGCAAGTTGTAAGGGCAAAAACAGAAGGTAGAAAACGGAAGTTGGAAGTTGTAGGTTGGAAGTTGAGTGTTGCGGTTGTCCTCCCGTTTGCTCCTGTGTGCGTGTGTGTTTTGATTTCACACATTGCCAGGCCAGTACGTGTAAGCATGAAGATCTCTGAAAATATCGGTTCCTTGCATGGCTGCGCAACATAGGCAAACGAGCCCGAGATCATCCGAAAATCGAGTTTCATGTTCCTTCTCGGCATTGGTGTGGTTGGTGCGGTTACGAATGTGTTGTTCTTGCATTTGCCTGCCCATGAACAGTGAAGGAATGCAGCACTGAACGATTTCAGGACGTTTGTGGAGTTTCTGGTGCGCAATTGTGTTTGTTGTCATCCTGTTCTGTGAGACATGCGTGCGCGCGAGGAACTTTTTACAGACGGCTTTGCGGCAGAGTTGCCGCGGCCCTGGCTGCTCGTCTGCATGGTTTGTATGACCAACAGAGGAACAAACGTAAACCTATGGAAGCTCTGCCCACGACGTGGTTGGTCATCATATGCCATGATGCGGGTCTCCGCCTTCGATGTCGCGGAAGATCATGACATAGCACGTGCGGCGGAGCAATGCCCAGCAGTGCATCCTTCGTGCTGGCATCGCATGCCGAGGAATTGAAACAGGTCCTGTCGGTTTCTACTGTGCTCGTCTAGGTTTTTTTCCCGAAGCTGGCGCCCTCATGTTCTGCAGGTTGGTATCCGAAGACGCTCACCACCACTTCGCTGCCGTCATGCATCGGCTACACGACATGCTGTGTGTTGGCGATTATGTGGTGGCAGATTGGTTGCACAGAGGAGCCGCACCCTTGTCAATGTTTTTGTCTTCGCCCCCTGATTGTGTCGTATTGTGTTTGGAAACTGAGGTTGAAGATACAAGCGCACAAATGCAAGATTGGTTTGAAGCCAACATCGATGAGGAGGACGTGAACGAAACGCTTCAAGCACGACACATCGTTAACATCCGTACCTCTCACCTTGACATGTTTTCATGCGCCCTTCGTTCCGACATGTCAAATCTTGTTCGGAATGACTCTCTGGGCAGGAACAGACGGAGGAACGCAAACTCACCGAAGATGGAATCGAACAATTGCGGAAGAAGACGACAGCTCTAGCAGATTTTTGTTTCTTGTCTGCATATGCTTCGATGTCTTCTTTGTTGCTCACGAAACAGAACGCGTGGTTTGTTCACGCCTTCACTTACAGTGCAGCTCCGCAAGGCCGGTTGCATGGCGCAGAATACCGTTGCGACACAAAGCGCCCTGACAATGTTGGATATGTGGGGTCCTGGCTTGGCTGCTTGTCGTTCCAAGCTCCAATGTCGCAGGTATACAGACATGTTCGGCTACAATGTCGGCAAGCATTGGAACAGCGTTTTGAAGCGGGTCGCTTAAAAAAAAGTCCGTGTGGCGACCGTGTTCAGGTTTCAGAGAGTCGTGTTGTGCCACGACAGGCTAGTAAAGTCCAACAAGAATCGATGTGCTTCGGGGCTCGCACGTGCGATGAAAGGTTGCAACTGTGCCACGTGTTTCGTTTGGGTTTGTATAGCTGCAGGTTGTTGGTTTCACATTGTTGGGTTTAGCGACAAAGTTGTACCTGCACCCGCGGGCCCTCATCACCAGCCTCTTTCGTGCCGATGCCGGAAGCGGGACAGGTGCTTTCGCAGCAGGACTTCGTTGACTATTCAGAGGAGGAGGTGGGCGACAAATTTTTTCATGACAACAATCGACACACTTGAAATCGGGCCGCACAAAATAAACTGAAACTCAACTGCAAGCACCATGCCTGGTGCACGGTGCCAAGAAGGTGCTGTCAGCATTCAGTGAAATGGCTACATGAAGGCCCCCGTGCGGATAGAGCAGCCAGTGCCTGGCACAGAACATTGGCCTGAGCCTTGTGCAGCTGCAGCTCTTTCTGGTGAGCGCGGGGTGCCTCCGCGCATTCTGCCATGCGTTGCGCTGCATCGCGCTGGCCGAGGCACAGCTCGCAGCCAGCTTCAGGGGAGCGGCTTGAGGCAGTCCCTGAGTCCCTTGCTGCTTGGACGGCTTGTGTTTGCACGTGGCTGTCTCGTGGGCGTGCCGGCACACTGGATTTCGGAGGCTTTCCAAGCCCTGCAGCGACTGCACGAGAAATGCCAGAGGCACAGCGCCGGACATGCCTGTGCAAGCTGGATTTGTCGGAAAGGTAGCCACCTGCGTGCCCGAAGGACAATCAGTTCTGCTCCGTCAACGGGTGCAAGCCAGGAAAGGGCTTGCATGAACGTTTGGGCGTGCAATCTAGGTGCAAGTGTCCCGCAGCAGTCGGCAATGCGCAGGTTATGCCGGCATTCTTGGCCTCGGCTGCACTGGCAGCCTTCCATGAGACACAAGCCAGAAGCTCAAGAGAATGAGAGAGAGGTGTTCGTTGCCTGAGCTTGGTTGCTGTTGTTGTTGGTTTGTCTTGAAAGCCTTGGATGCGATATTTCCAGCTTTTCAGGCCTGTGCAGACATGGCAAAGCCTGAAGAAAAGAAGAACAGCCGGAGTAGGAGCAGGGTATTGTCATGGAGCAGGAGCAGCTAATGCACTAGGACGGGATCATGGTGCCAGTGGAGTATCTAGAAAGTTACAGAAAAAATACAGCACGCATGTGCTGTACATAGGTGTGCAGTGGGAAGAACAGCTTACCGACATATGGCAGGACATGTAATTTACCGAGTTAATTTTTGCAAGCCCCAGAGCAGATGCCTGCAGACGATGATGTCGATGGCTTGGAGGCTGGACGGCTGGAGCACATGCAGCTGCACAAAGCGTAAGGTTCGGTTTAGGCGAATGTCCACGACGTGTTGCCATTGCTAGTAAGAGTTTGCGGTGAGGCTGCAGATTCTCCGAACTTTGAGGAGGACTTTGCATATCAGTCAGCAAGATACTGAATTTCAGACTGATTCAAGACAGCTTGCGAAGCTCGTTCCGCCCCACTTGGGTGCCCCCGTAGAATTTGAAAGCCTGACGGAAAGCCAACCCCAGTGTAGATTCTGCAGGAGCTTACAGTGGACATTTTCTCAACCTGAATGCATAAATGCGGTCGCCCAGGGAGGCGTTAGCTTTAGGTGTTTAGTAGATGGTCGCGTGTTGATGGGCCTTTGAGAGCCTGCCACACCCAAGGCATCCGCTAAACTGCACTCATAATTATTCTTCTTGTTATTACTACTATGAGTTTTCTTGATACTATAATTATGATGATGATGATGATAGTTAAAAGAAGACTGTGCCACATCTTGGAGGAAGGGGCCTTTGGCTCCCGTGGGGGCGCCTTTGCCTTGCTGGGGGCGCCGCTGAAGCACAGAGGAGGTGCGGGGTGGTTGCAAGAAGCCTTTGCCAGGGTCTTCGATGAATGTCAGGGAGGTCCCAAACCTCGGGTTGATGTGGTTTAGCTTCCACTCTTGGTCGTAGGGCCGCATGCGGTTGGAACACGGGCTGGAACATGCAGGTGCGGTGTTGCATGACGGCGAGGATGGTGATGCAGCCCTCGCTGTTGCTCGCCTGCATGTGTGAGGCTCTTGCTTCAGCCGGACCGCGTGCACAGTGGTCCGTGCATGTCATTGCTGCGTCAGGAACGGAGAAGCCACGTTGAACATCTCACGCAAAGACCTGTCGGCCAAACTTACCCAGAAAGTCCCAGTGACAGGCGCTGCAAGACCTGCTGAAGGAGTTACTTGGCAAGCAGCTCTTGTCGTTTAGCGCGGCATTCACGCAAGCGGATCCTCATCCTGATACCAAGATACTTCTAGCTTCCGAAAGCTTATTCATGCCTCAATGGCTTTTCTTTTGCAGCGAGGTTGCTGCGCACATGTAGAGTTGAATAGTATCGCTCCCTTTGCCCGAAGAATTTTATCTGTCATACCATGTCACTGTGAAGATACACAAAGCATTTCAGAGAGTCTCCTATCAAGTTGTGCCTGAAGCTTGGCGCCACGAAGCGGCGAGTCTCGCTCTGCAGTCATAGGCGCCGTGGCGTGGGAGCTGGGCAGTAAGGGCAGCAGTCGAGTCCCTTGTGAAAAAAATCAGGCACCCCCGCAAACCCGGCTCTCGACATTCTATAGCCTAACGAAGTAGCTTCCCAGAAAGAAGAACTTCGCATCTTTCTGAACCTTCCAAACACCACGGCGAGGGGTGACGATGCCGAAGAAGCGGCAGTCGAAGAGGGTTTCGAGGACGCATTGAAATGAACGAGGGGCCCCTACTGACACCCTTGGTGTAGCTGCATCTTTCAAGGTAGGAGAGTCCGGAATTTGCGGAATGTTCTGAGACTCTCCCGGTCCACGGGAAAAACCAGCTTGCAGGATGAACTAGTCGCTACCGAGCTTACTGAGAGCTTCACCGGTGAAGGCCAGGCGGTGGGCATCTCGAATCCACTGGAACAGCCTGTTTTCCAACTCTTGCAAAGGTGAAGAAGATGAGCCCATTGCCTTGCAAGCCCCCACGGCAGGAAAGCCGGCGAGAGGCACAAGTGCTCAGTGTTGATCCAGAGTGGGACTTGCCTTGTCAGTTGCTCGGAATACCGAGTAGCGCACAGGTCCTCAGCAGAATGGCAAAGCACATGGGAAAGGCAAGGGTGCAGGCTGCTTGGTCACATATGGGCCTCCACAGCCACAAGCGAAAGATCAGTGGTAGAGGCATCCTGCCCTAGAATGGGGTGGGTGGGTGCGACCTTTTCGCACCATATGGCCCAAAGCGAGGCAACTCTCAAATGCCTGACCTAATGGAAGACTCCGAGGAGGTCGACGTTGAGGCTGGGAGAGTTCGCACATGTTGCATCCTCTTATGCAAGAAGAAGTTCTAGTGTCCACGGTGGGAGGGAGGGTTGTGCTAAAACGAGGATGCGAATGACTACCTTAAGGCCTAGGGCAAACAAATGCCCCATCAGTGTCGGCAAAACAGCTGTGTCAGCATGGGCTTATGCTGTGGCTACGGTGCTTCGGCTGAGTTTTACATGACAATGTGTCCACTTGGGTGCAAACATTAGACGGGACATTTGCTTCGTCGGCAGTGTATGTAGGTGCTGTGTTCCTGGGAATGCGCCTGCGTGTGCGTGTGTGTGTGTGTGTGTGTGTGTGTGCGCGCGCGCGGCCCGGAGGCTTTCGAGCGTGTCGGCATAGTGCATGCGGGCTTGCTTCTGAACGTCTAAACTTAGCAGCCTGCTCTTCACCACCACTTGAAGGACATGCTCCAGAAATTCCTGGTAGCCGACATTATCTTATGTTGCATGATGCCCAAGTTGGGCGCTGCAAAGCGGACTTTTTGTCGGTTTCGATTTGAATGAATAAGTCACTTGAATAAGTCAGGAGATTGCCCCATTCCAATGAATTGTGTGCTGAAGAGGAACATGTGTCTCTGTTTGGGTCGTTTCATTCTTCCCAGTGGGCCAGCTGCAAGCAATAGTGGAGGGACAGCGATGGACAACCAGGTGGAAGTCGAAGAGGAAGACAATGATGAAGACGAATTGCCGAGCCTTGGCCGACCAGACTTCTCGTCAGATTGACGTGGCAGGCCAACGTTATCTGCAAAGCCCAGCTGGGCATGAAGATCAGCCTGCCACGGAATTGCGCAACAAAGGATTGTCAAGTCCAAAGGCAAAGCCAAGCATGGCAAAGGCAAAAGCAGCAAGGGAAGCAGAAAGGGTGGAAAAGGCAACGGCAACTCCAAGGACAAGCCCGTGGACAATTCAGAGATGTCTAAAAAGGGCAAAGGCAAGGGCCACTTGTCATACAATTTCTACATGGATACATCATAGATCGGCATGTCGTCAGCAATCTTGATGTCTGGACACCCTAGGAAAAGCGAAGGCGAAAAGCAAAAGCAAAGCAGTTGTCGAGAAGGAGCCGGAAGAAAAGGCTTTCGGCTGTGCCTTCTTTTGCGTGGCAGAAAGGAACAGCTAGTTTTCATGTTGCAGGTGGAGGAAGAAGAGGAGGATGATGAGGAGGACGAAGATGAAGACGAAGAAGAAGAAGAAGAAGACATTGGCATCAGCAAGGGGAAGGCTTGGCTCAAAGGCAAAGGCACGCCGGACACATCCACACACCATCCTTCGCCAGTAGCCCTGTAGTACAGTAACTCAGAAGTACCAATACAGCGGTGCGCAATTCAGGCAAAGGGCCCAATGCAATGGATAGGGGACGAGGCCCTGTTGCTTTGTTTCGAGCCATGTGCCCTCTTCACGCTACAGTGCTATACTGAAGGTGCCAAAGGATCCAAAGGCCAGAGCGCAGACGATCCATGGAAGCAGGATAAAGGCTGGGGCGCCTCGATGCACGGAAGCCTTGGAACTGGTCGATCGGGTAGGCGCCAGCGAGGGAATACCTGCCTGCAGTCGTTCGCAGGACGCTTGGTATTGAGTTTTGTATTCCACTGAGGTAAAGATTGGACCTCCAAAGGCTGGAAAGGAAAGGATAAAGGAAAAGGCAAAGGTGCAAACTGCACAAGCAGCACCAGTGACGAACAAGGAAATTGGCCGTGATGCAATCCGTCATGAGAGCAGCATGCAGGTGACGACTGGTGGTCTTCGCAGTGGTGGTCGTGGAAGGGTGGCTTGGATGCCCAGAGCTCCCGAGTACTGATCGGTCAGTTGCCAAAGAAGCTGACCGGCAGCAACTCTACAGAGTTTAGCGGCTGTCTGTCAGTTCAGCTGCTAAAATCCGAAGCACCCGACTCTGGCAGCCAGAGGCGACTGGGGAAAGGGAGCTTGGGGCAAGAGTTCCTGGAGCAAGGCCATCTCGAAGGGAAGATATTTCGGTGAGTCTCGGAGAGGTTTCTTCGCTCCAAGGGCTTAGTCTTTGGGATCTGCTGATGTGCCGGGGTGAAGCTCAGAGAACTTCTGCGAGCAAGCAATGAGCAATGGTGTTTTGCCAGGGGGACTGGGGCAAAGACGACTGGGGCAAAGACAGCTGGAGCGAGGAGTTTCGACGTGCGCTGGTAACGGGGCCCTCTAGCCCTAAGCCTAGCCCCAAACCCTAAACTCTAAACCCTAAACCCTAAACCCTCAACCCCAAACCCTAAACCCCCAAAAGAAAGAACCCAAACCCTAGACTCGCAGCTCTTCGAGTGCGGCTCTGGCGCTGCGGTCCAGGACTCCCGAGCTGACGCTCGGCGCCCGCGGGAGCCGATGCCGGAGCCGTCCGTGCCGTGCTTAGCTTCTCGAAGGCTGGACGTGATGAAGATTAGGGTTTTGGTTTTAGGGTTTAGGGTTTAGGGTTTAGGGTTTAGGGTTTAGGGTTTAGGTCTTAGGGTTTTGGCTGTGCAGACCTGGTTGTAAAAGGGTCTAGGGTTTAGGAAATCGCACTGCAGTCCCTCCTCAAGAAAAAGGGTTTAGGGTTGACTCTTCTGAGAAGAGTTTCGGCATCCTGGCAGCAAGGAGTCCAGTTGCAAACAGGGTTCATATAGGGTTTAGGGTTTACGAGTAGTAGTAATAATAGGGTTCTTCAGGGAGGCGGGTTCAAGGGGGGTATGTAATCCCAGCTTCCCTAAGGTTCTCTACCTACCCCGCTTGAACCCCCCCTCCCTTAAGAACCCTCGCAAGTAAGGCTGTCCCAACTTGATCCCTTGCCCGTCCCCCCAGTCCCCCACGCGTGCGATGCCGCAGCGTCCCGGGTTTTGGTCCTAGCCCTGAACCATCTCGATTAAAATGTGCAAGTGCGTAGCTTCTTGTCTACTCTGCGGAGTAGGCTGTGCCCACTCTGAAGCTCCTCTGAAACCCCCAAACCTTCTTCGCATCTCCGCATTTATTGTCCTACCCCAAAGGAGCGGTCTAGCTGCGACCCTAGAAACAAGTCTCCGTTGCGGTGCGATCGGCTTAGGATATCTTAGGGTGCTCGGACCCCTCCAGCAGAATTTCAACAGAGCATCCCCACTGAAACATGGAGGACATTGGAAGCACAAAGGGGAGAGAATCAGCCCTAAACCCTAAACCCTAAACCCTAAACCCTAAACCCTAAACCCTAAACCCTAAACCCTAAACCCTAAGCCCTAAGCCCTAAGCCCTAAGCCCTAAGCCCTAAGCCCTAAGCCCTAAGCCCTAAGCCCTAAGCCCTAAACCCTAAACCCTAAACCCTAAACCCCAAAGAGAGAACCCCAAACCCCAAACCCAACCCTAAACCCTGACTTCATCGGGGTGTTGAGGAACCCCCTCGGCAGCGACCACGGCGCGAGGAGGCTGCGGCGGAGGCCGCTGCGCAAGACACGCGACAACTTTTCAAGCGGGCAGAAGATATGGGGGTTCACGATAATAAGGGACCCTTAAAATAGACCCTCAAATAGAAGGATCCCCTTATCACAAGGACCCCAAGTACGGAAGCCACCATATTGAGCCAGGTTTTATGGTTAGCGTGCAAGAGCGCTTCAAGATCTGCAGCCTGTCTTCAGGTGAGCGAGCCCACCACCCGCGAGGAGTGGCTGCATGGCTCGGACTTGCTTTGGGCCTTTCCCAAAATAGGGGTACTTTAAAATAGAATAGAATCCCTCAAAGGGACCTCCCAACAAGGGCACGGGTTTGGGGTTTAGGGTGTAGGGTTTAGGAGTATGAAATCTGAGGGCAGCCGGGAAGGGTCCAGCTTGTTCTGACCAAGAACATGAATTCTTAGCTGAGGATGCGAGCTCAAGACAGATTTTTTGGGCATCTTCGTGCGCTTCCTCCGGACTGGATCAGGATCCGGTCCAAAAGCACACGTCGCTTGTTGTTACTCATCTAGCTGCAGGCTCTGATCCCTAAGGGTGCTCGTTCAGGATTTGGGGCCGAATGTGACTGACTGACGATATCCGATACCGAGGAACGATCTACTATTACAACACAAAGACAGGAGTTTCACAAAATGAGGAGCCGCGGTAATGCAACTACTGTATTTCCAGAATAGCTGGTAAGACACAGGCCTGCATCTGCGAAACGCAGATGTGTTTCTAGCTTCAGTTCGTCTTGGCAATAGCGCTTGGCACGCTTCCGCTCTAGCTTTGGGTTTGACCGACCCAGGGAGTGCAAGAGCGAGATCACGAGTCGGACAGACGGTGTTTGGGGAAAATGGTGTGCGTGTGTGTAGGTATGTGTTCATGTATGCGCGGCTGTACGTGTGACAGCGTTTGCGCGAGGGTCTGGAAGTCCCGTTGGGCCATTGGGCGGTTTTCTTCAGGCGTTTGAAGACTGGAATCGCCAGGGCATTGCCTCCCACAGCAGTTTCACGGATCCAGGGCCCCTTAACACACTGAACCCCCGAGAAGCTTCCAAGCAGCCGGCATCAGCCCAATATAGACATGCAACATCCAATTGGTGTAAAGCTGTCAGGTATGATGGAACAAACATATCCAGCCTTCCGACCCAATGTCTGAAACTCCAGCTATTGCTTCTCAAGTCTGGCACGTGTCGCCCCAGTCACCCAAGTCCACCCCCCCGAGATTCGAGCCTTGCCCCAAGGCCAAGGACGTCGCAGATGTCTCGGGGAGGCGGCTGAGGTGGAGGGGTTGTGCTGGTTGTGCTATTCAGGTATTGCAAGGTTTGGTTGGTTTCAGGGATGTGAGTCTGACCAGTTGCAAAATGGATGTGAGTCTGAGGTATAGGACAAATGAGGAGTCTCCGACAGCGCCCGTTGAAGATTCAGGGTTGTGGGGTGCAGGATGGGATTCGGGCGTGTTGAAGCCTGTTTCAAATGGGACCAAACGGGTTGTGGGCTCCGAGCCCGTAGAAAAGGGTGGCGGGCTCGATGCACATGGTTCGTGGGGTGGCCGCCGCCTGGAAGCTTCTTCTTTTATCGAGGAACTCGCTTGGCCTCCACAAAGAAAGTTTAGCAGCGTTGCGTTGAGACTTGTGACTTGTAAACTTTGTCCCCTATGTCACCTTCTCTGTCCAGATCAGAGCTGACGAACGAGGAGGCCTTTGCCACTCTGCGTCGGGGCCCCAGCGCCGAGCCCACACAGCCCATGCGTTGGAAGATCACACAGGTGCCAACGCGCGCCGCCTTCTGGCAGCCAGGCAGACGCCAGGGCCAAAGGGTTGCCATCCTTTGCATTTCCATGTAGTCGCATGATATCGCGTGCTGGATGGCCGCAGGCTATAGCTCACTGTATCAGCTGTTTGTGCAATGATCTCTCCCGTTCTTCCGCTGTGAACTTGAGGTCCGACCTCACTGAACCCGAATTAGAGGCGCAGGTGGGAAGCAGCTTGTTTGTGACTGGCCCCGGCACATTAAACAGCACGTCGCGGCACGCGCTGGAAATATGTCCCGAAAACATGGACCGGGAGTGCCCGAGATGATAGCATCATGTAGCATGTGGGCTAATTAGTAGTTCTCAAGTCTGCATCAGGCAGTATTTTGAGAATATTCATTTTTCCAATGTGCGTGCGACTGCCATTGTGTGATGGCATTTTGCAACCTGCAGCTTTCGTACCGTTATCAACAGTGACAAGCTTATCCACAAAGCTTTTCCAATGGCAGCCGGTTTCGCCATTTGCAATGTTTCTAGTTCGTCGGAGTGGAGTAAGACTGAGGGTTTGATTTTTTTCACACTGCTCAAAGTGATCTGTAGTGCTTGATTGTACACATGCGGCCCATGGTGGTCAACGAGTTTGTGAATTGCACTGCGGGCCTCGCAGGGTTCCCATTCGCACAGACCCACAAGGGAATGATTCGGTTGTCTCACAGGTTCACGACTTCCTCAAGCGATCCTGGAGCAACATTGCGGCGAATGTGTTGGGCTGGCCCAGACGTTGTGTTCCATTTCCGTCGTTGAGTGGGGCTTGGCAGCTTAATGTGTCAGGACTCGGCGCTGGGAAAGTTCTCATGTCGGCTTTGGGCAGATTGGCCTAGTTAGGTGGATAGAATGGGAGATGCCAATGTGCTGTCATCGATTTTCAGATTGACGGTTGGAGAGAAGGGCATGTGGACAACCGCGTTCGCCACCATGGGGCACCGCCGCAACACTCTTGGTTCGAGCACAGGAGTGGGGTTATTTGGGGGCTAAGCCATGTGGGTGGGTATAGGCACATAATAAACAAATCGCGCATCGCCATGCCTTCGAAAAAAGGGCCCCCCAGCAAGTAGGCAAAGGCTGGTCTTCAGGTGCTTGGGCTGTGCGAGCACTTGTAGGTGGCAAAGATCCAAGCCTGATGAACAGTTTCATGCGCATGCACAGCAAGTGCTTGCGACGTACATGTGTGTGGCTAGTGGTTGCTAATGCGAGTATGATTCCAAACCAAGCGCTCTTGGTGTATTCTCGGTGTGTTTTTGTGCATAGAAGCCTGTCCAACAGTTCCTAACCTCACGAAGCGACATTTGCAGACCTCGTTTGGCGACAACGGCCATGGTGCGGGGCGCCGACACCGCGCCCAGAGCATGGCTCAGACCTTTTTTTTCCTGTTCTGAGGGTACCATGGCTATGAGCGATCAGTGCGATCGAGCACCTGAAGTGACCAGGTGCTGATGAAACACCTCCGAAGAAGCGAGCCCGCAGCACGAAGAGCAGCTTCCTGGCGCAGTCACGCGCAGTCGACGTGAAATCTGCAGGTTTTGTACACGCGCATCTCTTGTTGACTTGAGGTGCACCAAAGGCAGGTGCTAGCTCAGAGGACTTCGTCCTCGCAGACCTTGTGAAGGCGCCCAAGGTGCAGCGAAGCCAAGGCACAGATTCCGTGTCTGAAGTGCCCGCTTGTCATCTCAAGCATCTCTGAGAATCAGAATCCAGAGCCTTACGCCTGACACGTCCTTCAGGTCCAGCACGTACGCCTGGCCGACGTGCCTTGCCTCACAAGAGCCCTAAACCCTAAACCCTAAACCCTAAACCCTAAACCCTAAACCCTAAACCCTAAACCCTAAACCCTAAACCAGGGTAGGAGCTGTCTTCGGTTCCTTGTCCTTGTCCATTGCAAGACCTGTTTCGGGGGGTAGTCCTCTAAGTTAGGGCCCCTTTTTGGGTACCATATACAGTATGGCACCCTTAGAGTGAGGACCCAGATTATAGGAGAACTACCCCGGATGCCTCACATGGGTTGTGACAGGAGCGACTCCAGACACTCCTCGCGTGATTGCGCGTGGCCCTGTTTTACCGGCTACTGGGGCATGCAAGAGACTCCTAGGGCGTTCGCATGGTCTTCTGAAGTTGACGAAGGCAGATTCGAGAAGCACGTGTCAGAAAAGAAACGGGGACAGTGAGGTACTGAACAAATGCAGGCAGGCGAGTTCGGAAAACCTGCAGCTCAGTCACACCACGGTGGGCTACGACTGGCATCAACTGGGGCTGCCGCTGCTGCTGCCACTATCCTTTGCCTTGCGGCTGCTGCGCTGCTGCCTGTTTTCGTATTTCGCCGGCCTCTAAGTCCCAATGTTATGCTCATCTGTTCTGAATGTGGCGCTTTGTCTCCTAACTTGTTTTCAGTTGTCTGCTGAGTATGTTTTTATTCTGAGCTTTCCCGGCTCTTTGACCTCCTCTCTGTTGTTTTGGCTTTAGTTGTCTGAGTTCCCCGATCCCCTTCTGAAGTTGCAGCGGGTCTGCGGCATGGTTGTGAAATTGTGCTCTGGAGCTCTCTTAGCCCGCCTTGCTGTGTGGATTGGTGTGGCGCCTTGCTGGTGGGCCATTCTTTTGGAATACCAAGTGTGGCGATGGGCCCTGAAACGCAGTGCGAAGAATAGTAGAGCCGATTTTGTGACGGGCTCTGCCTGTGGCTTTGCCGCCGGAGCCCATTGCTGCCCAGGAGTTTCCTGTACGGGTTGGGGTTGTCGGTCAGGTTCTCCGAGATGTGCTTTGTCAGATTCAGACAGAAACCTCACAACGACATTGCCTTGCCTCCTGTCGAGTGCGAGTGCGAGCGTCGAAGCCCAGACCCAGGCTGTCGCTGCCGATGGCGAGGCCCGGCGGCGGCAGGCGCAGCCCGCTGCCCTGGAAGAGGCGCCACGTGGTGGTTCCATGTTTTTTCCATAGTCCTTTCATTCTCGTCGTGTTCTCTGCGCTCGATTTCGCTTCTCCTCGGATGCTTTGCTAGGTCGTCATCGGCTGGTACGTCGGCTCTGCGGATCCAACGCCCATCCGGCTCGTGAGAAAAGGCAGCATCTGCCACCCACTCTCAAGAGCGGCATATTTCACAAGGGCTCTTCGGGTCTGTGAGCTGCAGGGAAGGAGCTGGTGCAGGGAGAAGTCTTCGAGACACAGAGTGATGAAATCCGTTCCTTGGCTTTGGGCAGATCAGTCCCTTCTCTCGCTCTCGAGAGCTGATGGTGTGGAGTGGCCAGGTAGGCACATCAACGACTGCACCCTAAACCCTAAACCCTAAACCCTAAACCCCAAACCCCAAACCCTAAACCCTAAACCCTAAACCTAAACCCTAAACCCTAAACCCTAAACCCCAAACCCCAAACATCCTTGTTCCCCTGGAATGCCCAGGAAAGGAGTACCCAGATGCCCCGATTGCCAAAGCACACCGCGCCAAGTACAACTGGGTTGCTGAGACTGCAGGGGGCCGCTTCACAAGAGGCTGGGCGTAAAGCTTGGGAGGGGCCCTAACTTGGAGGTTCATGGGCATCAATAGGGTTATAAAGCATGGTGTTTATACATAAAGCCAAATTTAGGGAACTTCTAAGGTACTTATGACTTCTGTAACCCTACTTCTACATAACTACCCTTGAACCTACAAGAAGTCCGATCCTTTTTCCATGAAACTACTTGGAGGTTCAGGGTACTTCTTAACCTACTACTAACTGTACTTATAACCCAATTAGAAACCTCTTAGGCGCTTAAGGGGCTTATAACTGGGTTCTAAGTGCAGTTAAATATTCTTTAAATCAGTACCATGAACCTCCAAGCACCTGATCCAGCCAGCGTCGTCGATCCAAGGAGATCCCACAAAGATGGTTCCCGCCGTGCGCACTGCGGGCATGATTGGGAGACCTGGCATCCACTTCAAGTGCCGACGGTTTAGGGTTTAGGATTTCTGCAAAAGGGTTTAGGGTTTAGGGCTTAGGATGAAAGTTCAGCAGGTGGCGCTTATACAGTTGATTGGTATGTGCTGCCCTTCCTCCCGGTTGTTTTGCATAGTACTGGCTAGACCCTCAGTCCAGTGGCAAAACGGGTTCAGGGTTCATGCAAACCTGTTGCAGCACGAGCTCCATGTCATGTGCTTCGATTGCCGTCCTTCATGAAGGAAGTGGACCTGCGATGTTTGTGGAAAGTGCCCGTGCTGAAGTGAAAGTTCTTTCCCATGTGGCCGAAAGACAGAGCCTGTGCGATGGATTTCCCACGGCCGAGGGCTCATGCACAGATCACATGTTCGTGCGTATGTCAACGAGAGTCTTTCGTGGTAGGTCCAGGTAGATGCTTCCTATTAGTCAGCACATCCTGGCAGAGCCAGAACGCAAAGGACCGCCTGCGGGCAGCTCTTTGTCTTCCGAGCCTTCCTCCGAAAGGAGCACTTGCGTGGATGCGTGGAGAGGAGAGGGATCATGGGGTGGTATAAGCCATCCTTGCAGGGGGCGCATACATTGGCAAGCATGGCGAGCCTAGTAGCCAGACTCAACAAGCCCAACTCTATGCAGGCTCTTAGATCCTTTCGTGGCCTACATTTCATCGCGTTGTGGCCGGGGCTTGCTGGGGCAGCTGCTCAGCGGCAGAGCTTATCTATACACTTTTGCACAGTGTGCTGACTTCGTGTTTTTGGGCGGTCTGAGGCTTACGGAGTACATGCGCTTTAAGGAAGAGGTTTACAGAGCAGCCCTCAGCACTTGATCTAGAGCTGCACCAGCCTGGTGCAACACGAGTTTGGCAGCATCTCAGCAAAGGCCTCACCACCAAAAGTGTCGACATCGATGATGCACGTTCTCAGCTGGAAGCTTGGCTGCAAGTTTTGTTCGTGTAGCGGGAGGGAAGCATACCAACCTATGCTGGCCGACGCCAGGAGGAGTCCATGCGTCGCTGCAGCCGCGAGGCAGGGGTGACGAGCGTATGGGCCGGTACATCACAGCATGCGTACCTCTCGCCCAAACTCCCCACAAACCCGACAAGCCCTTCTTAACCTTGAAGATTTTCCATCTTGGCTGCCTACCTACTTGAAGTACTTGCCCGAGGACCGTCAATTCCTCATTGACGAGTTGGAGAGACTGGCTGGAGTCGGTGTTACGGGCGCGACAAAGACGGCCGAAATGGAGCTCCGCTGGAATCAAGTGTGGCAACACGGTCTGGCCACGACTGCCATGCCTGTGCATACATACACTCATTCGTACATACGTACATACATACATACATACCTACCTACATACATACATAGAGGCATACATACATGCATACTTTCATACTTTCATACATGCACACTGGATGCTCAGGAGTCCGTGGAGCGAATGATGCCTGGCCAGGGTGGCGAGGGCCTAGTGCTCCTCCGCAGTGCCGAGGTCCGGGCCATGTTGGGGCCAGCTGCCCCCCCCGCTTTTTGTGGCTTTCTTGAGTTTTCTTTTCCGAAGAAGGTCTGTGAAGTCGACTAAGTGGACCGGCAAGCAAGTCCCAGCATGCATGGGGCATGCCAGGATGTCTTCCGTGCTATGGCACGGACCCTGGCGCCACGACACTCGGCTCTGCAAGCGTGGGTCGCGTTTGTGGCGCATCTGGATGTTGAGCACCTTGGGAGCAGCGGGAGCGTCTGCAGGTGTGAATGCGCGGCTTCTCGCAGCCGCGGCCGTGGCAGTGACGAACGAAGCGGACCTTGAGGGCTACCTGAAAGGAGACGCGGGAAAACCTCATTTATGGCAAAATCACAAAGCGTGCGAGTACGTGGGCGGAAGGCTTCAGGCTACAGTTACTAACAGTGTCGAGGGACAGCAGTAGACATAAAGGGGCATATGCAGGTACAAAATGCGTGACGCATTTGACAGCATTGACCTGCCAGCTTCCGAAATCTCATGTTGGAGTCCGCAGGCGCCGCTGCCAGCCTCGGGGCTGGTGGGCCGTTGCCGCAGGCCGCAAGCTACACAACCTCCAATTCAAAAAGCTAGGGTTTTGGGGTTTAGGGTTTAGGGTTTAGGGTTTAGGGTTTAGGGTTTAGGGATGAGACGGCAAGCACGCCAAGTCCCAAGCCGTTCAGAAAGAACTGTTGGTAGCTTTTTCGCGCTGCCCAAAGAAAAGCACAGCGTCCTCCGTGGTCGCCGCCCAGGCCCCTTTGAGGTGGCCTTTCCGAGAGGTGGTCAGCTGCATCGAAGCTGCCCTCCGTGCTTCCAACGGTGCGAAGGGGATTTGCAGGGAAAAAGAGACAGGTTCATGCCAAGTTCATGCACTCTGCACTTCGCTGACATGTATGACAGTCGGCCGAGTCGGCCTCCCTTTCAGGGGAGGAGTCATCACATCTGCGGGTGGAGCTGGCATGTTCCTGGGACTCCTCCATCAAGGCCGACGGCGTCAGTCCTGCAAGTCCTTGGAGACAGAACCGCTGAGGCTTTACGAGGTTCGCTCAAGGCTCATTCTGAAATCTTGCGCACACCGTTCCAGCACAGTGCTTGCCTGCATCATCCTGCATCTGAAAACTGCGATGTGGCATCAAGGTGTTTGGTCCGGACAAAGCTGCTGTGACCATTCGCCTGGGCTACTTGCAAGCCAGGTGCCGGTAGTGCAATGTTCATACCTGAAGCTGCCATGTGAAAATGTGCAACCCTCTCAAGCAACCGTGGCGAAAAGTTATGCGTTGAGACAAGATGAGCCGTCCCCAGGCAAGCCTTGCATGCGTTTGCATCCTCGTCGAGGCCATCCAAAGAAGAGGTGCCCTCTGCACTTCTTCCCTTCCCCAACATGCCACGACCAAAACATCGAAAGCGTCATGAGGCCTTTCTTCGCTTCTGATGTGAACCTACAGTAGTGCTTTGCGGACGCCACACGCTGAACACATGCCGGTTGTGAATGCTTCAAGAAGAAGTGTCTGAGTTTGTCCTCACTACAGTGAAGTCTCTGTGGCTTTTACAATCACAAGAGTACTCATTATAACAAAAACACTCAGAACAACAAAAATAGTCATATTAACAAGAGTAATCATAACTAAAGGACTGCAACCAAGGCCTCGACGCTGCAGCAACGCCTGGAGCAGGTGTCTGGGGGTCTTGCCGCGTGATTGGGCCGCAGCAGCGAGGGGCTCCGGGTCAAAGGCTGATGCCCTTGAGGGCTTTGATATTGAGGGTTTAGGGTTTAATTCGGGTTTAGGGTTCAGGGGTGTTGAGGCTCGTTTTCGGGGGGCTTGCGCCTTGTGCTTGTGATGCTCTTCGGTTTTTTTGATGCTTTTTGTCGGTTTTGTTTGGCTCTCGACAGATGGCTCTAAGGCTGCAGGGGCCTCAAGAACCAGAACCTCGGCCTCAGTTCTGGCATTTCTGGCAAGTAGTGCGGCTGTCAGGTGTCGGGTGCCAGGTTTGCAAGGGTCGGGTATGGACAGCATGAAGAATCTTCAAACAGATCCATGCAGGAGCGACCGAGCCTGGAAGGGATGGGTTCCTGTCACTCTTGCAAGTGACACTTCTGCAGCTTGATCTAGGACCGTCGCTTGAGTGGAACGCCGGCCCTGCCTGCCAGCCTGCGCCCTCGCCACATTGGAGCCTTGGCTGGGGCTCGGTGACACGAGGAAGCGCGTGGAAAAGGCCAGACTCAGGCTCCCTCCATGTGACTATGTTGTCCACGTTCCCACGCCTCTCTTATCCCTCCATGTCTGCATCAACGCAGAAGAAGGTCTCAAAACAAGGGGTTTCTAGGTGTCTCTAAATGGGCTGCTCATCAGCTCATCTCCTGCAAGCCGAGCCTCATCTGAGGTCGGGCGGAGAGCTTGGGTTATGGTTGGCATGCTGCCGACTGGGCACAGAGACTGAAGGACTTTGGGTACCAAGGGGGTGCAGTAGTCTGTGCTGGTAGCTGCTTCATGCTTGGTGGAGCTGGAGGTTTTTGGCTAAGCGCTACCGTCAGAAGGACGTAGCAGGACCGATTTCGCATGGGCCTCCTCTCCCGCTTCGTGCCTGGCACGGCTGATGAGCCGAGTTGGGGGAAGCTACTGGCACTAGGATTCGGAGGCCTTGCGGCTGGTGGAACGATCTACTGGGCGCTCTCGAGGCAATTCGGATGGAACCGTGCACGGCGGGTGCGCGTCGCCAGCCTGTACGTGTACCCCATCAAAGGTTGCAGAGGCCACCAACTCTCCAAGGTGCGACTCACAAAGTGGGGGCTGCAAGATGATCGAGTGTACATGGTCGTGAATGAGAAGAACGAGTTCGTGTCGCAACGAGAACTTCCTCGCATGGCCTTGATCCATCCCGACGCCCGGCATGCAGCCTGACAATCTTTCTGGCATGGAGGTGTAGGCCCTGTAGACGCGACCCCCAAACAAGTGACGTCGAACAGCTTGACAGGACTTACCAACATCAAGTGGTATCACCCTGCGCGCTGCTCCAGAAGCAGGAGAGGACGTGGAGCCATTGTTGGTGCCATTAAAGATGGATGGGCCGGAGAAGTCAGTGAGAGCTCCTGGCCGCAATTCCGATGTCCCCTGCATGTATCCCACTCGTATGTACGGAGCCTTTCCCGTTGAAGTCGGTTGAGGATCGTTGTGCACTCGCTGAGGTTTGGGCGGATTGGGTGCCGGCCATCGATCAAGGTCCAAGGGAGAAGATGGTCAGCCGGGGTAGGTTCAGGAACCTTACGAGAAAGCTTACACGTACTGTTTCGAAGGCGACGCAGTGGGCAAGTGGCTGTCAAGTTTGATGCGGACTGATGGCCTGCGATTGGTAGCCGTGCTGCACATTTAGTTCCGTCGACTTGTTGACGTTTTGGTGTGCTTGTGCTTGGGCGTGGTGGGCAGATGTGGGCAGAAGAAAAGCAAGCCTTGACAGTACCGAAAAGTAGCAATTGCCGCACCCTGCACCTAATCCGCTCTCCACATCCTGCTGTCTTCGAAGGTCATTTGAGGCTCCAAGGCGGGACTCTGTGCAGAGGTCTAGGTACTCGGCGGGACTCTCTGGGGGCGCACTCCGGGCATGCCCGGCAGGACTCTCTCTCTCTCTCTCCCTCTCTCTCTCTCTAGCTCGTTCTCTCTCTCGTTCTCGCTCTCTCGTTCTCTCTCTCGTTCTCTCTCTCGTTCTCTCTATCGTTCTCTCTATCGTTCTCGATCTCTCTCGATCTCTCTCGATCTCTCTCTCTCTCTATCATCTATCTATCTCTCTCTCTATCTCATCCTCTCTATCTCTCTCTCTCTCTCTCTCTCTCTCTCTCTCTCTCTCTCTCTCTCTCTTTCTCGATCTCCAGCCCCATCTCTATCTCTGTCTGTGGGCTTCTCTGCGAAAACTTGTGGGGTGGGCACTTGAGGGATGTTCGGCGGGACTCTCTGCAGGCTGCTCCAGGGCTGGGCAATCCAGGGACCAGGCCTGGAGACTGGCTGACAACCTCACATCGAGGGTTTAGGGTTTAGGGTTTAGGGTTTAGGGTTTAGGGAACAAGCAGAGAGTTTCTCATTGATATGCGCTGAGGTAAGAATTGCCAAATCAGCTCAGCGAACTACAGACCCGAAGTATGGCGTTGGGGAGACTGCCTTCTCTGACGGCTTCCCCGTGCTAGTCACATCGCAAGCTTCCATGGATGCGATTCGCAGAAGAGCGTCCTGCCAGAATTAGCATGCCGGTGTTCAATAGTGATGTCCCGGAGCCGGGAGTAAGCTCAAAGTGTGAAATGTGTGAAGGTGCTGCGTGCAGGAGGCCCGGTCGTGGGTATCGACCGGTTTCGACCCAACATCCACGTCGAGGGCTGCGGTCCATTCCAGGAGGATGAGATGAGGTCCTTGTCTCTGCCAGGTGTTCAGCTGCCGTTGGTGAAGCCCTGCTCCCGTTGCACGGTCCCAGGGATTGACCCACAGACCGGGATGCGAACGACGCAGACTGGTGGTGCCATCACGAAGACCCTGCGGGAGCACCGCTCTGGGCGTCTGATGGCCCGAAGTGCGGCACTACACAGAACATTCTTCAGCGAATCCAGAAGAGCAGACGATGTCTACTTTGGGCAGAATGCTCTGGTGTTCCTCGACGAAGCAAGTGGAGCAGAGATCTCTGTCGGCGACATGGCTGCCGTGTCATGGTGATTACCAGTCGCGGCAGCAATGAAGACCTTTAAAGGCAGTGCCCTGGACCTGCAAGGCCCCCCAGCGCGCTGCACAGGAGTGCCGTGCTACTGTCGACAGACAACGGCTACTTTGTGCGGGATGCTTTCCCCGTAAAGCCTTGAAGTGGACATCGATGTAGAGCCTCCGCCTTGAGGGCGACTGCGCAGCCAAGGCAGTTGTACAGTGCGCGGTGAAATGCCGGATAACATCAAGGGGTTGCGTGTATGCTTGGCAGTTGTTGCTCACACTTGCAAAGTCTCGATGAGGAGAGTAGGTTTTTACAATCCATGCCTGGCAGAACAAGATCTTTTCCGCCTGATAGGATATGCTGGCAGCAGACTTTGACTTCACCAGGCGGCCACTGCGCTGCTTGGCTGGATTCGAGGGGATCGGGTTTTCGTCAGGTTTTCCAATCATCTCTCCAAACTCATGCTGAGTTTGTGTGGCTTTAACCATGCAGGGCCCTGGATGTGGCCAAGTCTAGCCAACGTGGCAGTGTAAGCCCCGTGCCTTGTTTGTCTCTGAACGGGCTTCGTCTTCACACATCTGGGCGTTTTGCATCATTGTTCGGCTTTTTCTGGTGAGCAGGCCTGGTCACGGGCTGCTCAGGCGCCGAGGTGCCAGCAAAAAGTCTCAAGTGCAATGTATGCCTTAATCCACGCGTCCCGCCTGTGGTCCATAATCACTTCGCCTTTTGGACCAGTTAGAAGGACTTCTTGAGAGGGCAGCAAGGCGTGGCAAAGCATCAGGGTCATCAGAGAATTTGGGGCCCTACGGAAAAAGGGACCCCCAATACAAACCCCCAAAATAGTAGGATTCCCTTCTCATAAGGGCCCCAAGGAGGGCCCCCTAATTTCGGGAACCCCCCCATTTTGCTTGAACTTCAGCTGATGGGCAGGCTCCGCACTTCGCCATGCGCCAACTTGTGGGCCACGAAGGCGATCTCATGTAGCGTAGCCCTGTGACAAAGGCATCTTTGCATCGTGGAAAAGAGGCCGTTCCCCTGAAACCCTAAACCCTCAGCGAAAAAACCCTGAACCCGAACCCCGAAGCCCTAAACCTTAAACCCTAAACCCTAAACCCTAAACCCTAAACCCTAAACCCTAAAGTACCCTCGCGTCTCGCGCCTGGGTCCGAATCTTTTTGCAGGCTTCGAGCAGCTCTTCGGCTCCGAGATCAACGAGAATCCGCGGCGCTTCATCCTCAGGAACTGCTCCATGGCTGGCACAGAGGGTTTAGGGTTTAGGGTTTAGGGTTTAGGGTTTAGGGTCAGAGATGGAGGTTTCCGAAAATAGGGATACCCTTTTTGGAGGTCCCTTTAAGGGGATTCTATTCTATTTGGGGGAAATCCAGGGGTGCCCCTATTTTGGGAGATTCCCATATGGGCGCTTAGGACGCTGGGTCGGAGGATCCCTCTCTGTGGTTAGGCAGAAAGCTCCCCTATTACCCTGAAGGGCTGGATGTTTTGTCTGCAGCTTGTGTCTGCTGATCTACAAGGCAATGCCCAGCACCTGTTTGAGGATGTTTGCCACGTCATGGAAGGCGGGCGACTGAGCTGCCGATCCCTTATGCCAAGGGTCTCTTGCTCTCACAGCATAAACTACTTGGCTTGCTCATTGTGTGGTTGTAGGTTCTGGCCCATGTGCTCGTCATGGCGGCCGCTGCTCCGTTCCGGATGGGGAGGTGGACATTTTCGTCGGAGGTTTTCCCTGCACTCCGCGACCCAGCTGCTCCAGACAATGCTTCAGAGAGAGAGAGAGAGAATATTTGAAGTTCCGTGTCCCATACTGCAGTTTACCAAGCCAAGGTATTCTTTTTGCAATCCCAAGCGGTTCAAAAGGAACTGCTTTACTGAGCCTGCAGCCGCGCCCTTCTTCGAGATGCGCGCCTCTTCTGCAAGGTATAGTCGCCGAAGGAGAAAACCGCTGGCGCCCTGCTACCAGTAGCATGGTTGGCAGTGTTTCTTGAGGAGCAGATGTTGTGCTAGCTTTTCCTCAGCGAAGCTCATGCTATGCTGAGGAAAATTCATTGCTCAGAGGCGGCCGCGTTTGGTGATACTGGAGAATGTCCGGTTCTTGGGCAGTGCTTGTGTTCTTACCGCACACCCGGCCTTTTGGATTGGATCTGCCGAGGTGAGGGGTTTGCTGGCACCGAATCCGGAGACCGAGCACCCTCCTATTGACTTCATTTTGCGAGGTCGGAACCCAGCCGCTTCATCTGCAATCTGAGCCCCGGACAGGGAGCTTGACTAATTGGCGAGCTCATGTGAGCGAAGCTGCTCGCAAGGAGAACCAAGAGGATTGCTATCAGGGCACCGAGCCCAACGCTGATTGGGGACTCAGCCTCATTGAGGGCTATGGGCTCCGATGGGACATCCTGTATTCATACGATGCTTGGCAGTCGTGGAAAATCGCCGTGGCTGGCTCTTGCTTGGCTGCTGACTTAAGTGACAGTCACGCTCTTGGGCACCCGTATTCCAAGGACTGGGGGCTGCCGCAGAGCCGCCCACGAGCCCCTTCCTGGAATGAGGGGAGTGCCTACGGCCGGGGCATGTTGTGCCGCGTTTTGTGCGGGAAAGATCCAGCGTCAGCATCGTTTGGTTCTTAAGATTTATGGAAACTACGCAACAAAGGTCTACATTGTGATGGTCAGGGAGGATGCGGGTGGTCAGAAAGCTGCCGAGCGCATGTTTGAGGCTGCCGGCTGAGCCATGACCATAGGTTGTGCAAGTTTTTGAGTCACAGCGCCAGCTGTGCATAAAAAACTGTTGCACGAAGTTGTGTAGCAATTTGCTTCGAATAAGTGGCACCAAGATTTAGTGGTGCGTTGACTTGTAGGTGTTGACGGCCTGTGCTGGTCATCTTCCGAGGGGTTCATGTAACTTGGAAGAAAAAAGACATAGAAGGCTGCCCTGCTTTGCATTGCAAGCCTCTGCGTTCCAGAGCTCAGGCAACGACTTCCTCTATCCTGAGACTTGGCTAACTGCTTGGAGCGGCCTGGACATGACACGATTAGGTTGCACCCCAAGAACACCCTTTAAGAGAAAGGGCAGCCGGGGTTGGCTTGTGGGCAAAGGGTGGCTACTCGGAGGTTCAGGGTACTTATTAAACCAAGACGAACTGTACTTACAACCCAGTTACAACCATATTAGGGCACTTAAGGGCTTATAAATGGGCTTATAAGTGGGTTAGTAGTGCAGTTAGAATTTTTGTTAGTAAGTACCCTGACCCTCCAAGTAGCGGCTAGCGGCATGTTTCCTGCATCCCGAGGACGACCATCCCAGGCTGGAGCTGGCGATGCTGCGGAGCAAGGGTGGAGGCGACCACGTAAGATGATCATAGCCGTCAGAACCATCATGACCCATCATAAGTATCATAATTATCATCGCTATCATAATTATCATAGTTATCATAGTTGTCATAAGTATCATAACTATCACAATTGTCATACTTGTCATTATTGTTATTATTGTCATAATTGTCATATCTGTGTGGGTCGATGTGGTGTCAGGCGGGCCATTTCATGCTTGCAACATGGCCTGAATGGTGACAACTTCCAGAAACCGGCCCCAGACATGCTCCCAGGAGGTCCGCGGAGAGCATGCACCAAGTTCACAGAGGCGCTGTTCAGGACTTTTGTTGGGGAGATGGCGCGTGGCCTGTGGCAGATGTTAGGTGTGCTGCTTTCATTCGTCCCCCCAAACAGGGATGAGTTGCATATTCACAGGCTTTTGGCGATATATATATATATATATATGTATACACATACGAGTGTTTCTGTATTTTTTGCTGTATGTATATATATATATATATATAGAAATACATATGTATTGTTATGTGTGTAAGGACTTCTAAAACTCCTTATCTCACACCGTGGGGTTCCCTAAATATCTACTGATCCCGAACCATCAGTGCCCCGGGCGTCATGGGTAGAGGGAAGAGCTGCAAAGGACGAAGCGGCAAGAACTGGGGCTTGCTGCCTCCGATCGACCCTACTCCAAGGCCATGACGCCCTGCAATTTGGGTTTAGCGTTTTGCGTTTAGGGTTTAGGGTAAGGGTCAAGATTGTTCTTGGTTGCATCATGGACCTTTGTTGGCAAAGTGGTTGTTTACCGCAAGACAAAGCCCCGATGCTACCGACAACCATCGACCAGGCGTGTGCAGGCAATGTGTTGCGAGGCGGCCCTGAGCTTGAGAAACATCTCTAAACCTGCTTTTGAACCCTATGGGCCCTGCCTGCGTTGCAGCAGCCATGAGAAAGCACTGCTGGAAGTTGCCCTCCATGTGGAAGTGGCTCCAATTTTCCACAGCAGGCCCGCGCAGCTGGCTGGTTCCCGCAGGCTACGGCTCCCCGGCCACACTAGGGGAGTTGCAGTTTCAGACGCTCAGACACTCAGAATCAAGACCGAGACGCTCCGCTGTTGTTAGACTCGTTTTTTTGAGGCCAGGGTGTCAAGCTGAGGCAGGTGTAGTAGCCCCAGCCCAAGCCCAAGGATGTTCGGGGCTTCAGGCTGGGTCCCGTGCTTGAGGGACTTGGGATCCCTGGTTTCATCGGCAGAAGCGCCAAGGAGAAGATGGTCGGCCAGCTTGACATCATTTATGCCATCGCGGCGCCTGGCTTACCACCTTTGCAGCAAAGCAGACGAACAGTGCTCAACCGTCGCTGCCTTTGAGTTCCCTCCAAAAGGAGAAGCAGGGCTTGGACTTCAACTTCCTCCTCGCCGATCTTAGCCAGCAGGCGAGGTCGGATGGATGTCCAGGAACACTCCCTGTAGGCACAAGCAGGAGCGTGCGCTGGACGAATCAGCACACAAGCAGCAGGGCATGAGTCAAATGATGATGCAGCATTCTGGGTAGGTATCGCGTGGCGCTTGGAGAGATGATGGTCTTCAGCTTATTGTGTGCAAGTCTTCCAGCGCGAAGCACAGCGTAGGGTCTTTTCTTCTCGATCTCAGCATGGCCAATCCGCAGCGAGGCAACATCCCCACATTGACTACGGCCTGTTCGCTTTACAGCTTTAGTCGGCATCGCCCGTTTTTGGGCGAGGAGTGCCTCAGCCACTCTGCAGCACTTAAGCGTTTGGGGGTTAGAGGCCGTTTTGTCAGTCGGCCCGGACTCGGCAGTGCCCGCTTTTGGCAACCCGCCGGGTTCTTAGGGCTCAATGGCTTCCCGCTGGAGGAGCTGACTCTGGGCCGCCTGGCTGCCTTTGGGCGCTTTATTTCCTGAGGCTTTGGGAGCCAAACGAGGAATCGTTTGGGATGTTCCCCCTGATACTAGCAGTCCTTAATAGGGATTATAATGAGGTATAGTTGCTTGCGTTTGATTCGGCCTTCTCCACTATGCAGTCTGCGTGAGATGGCTGCCAAGATCACCACACGGAGAATGAGCTCGTCTTCTTGGCGGGGAACGCCATGTCTGTGCTCTTCAGCTGCAGCAACTACACAGGGGACAGCTTACTGAACTGTCGTAAGCGGCCCTCGTTCCTGCTTCACCTAGGGTGTAGGGTTTAGGGATGTTTAGGGGTTAGGCTGGAATGCTCTTACAAGGCCGGTCATCGGGGCAGTTCTCTTCGCCGGCCTGGTGTCTTTGGACTGGGGCGACGACAGGCAGGAGACCTGGAAGTCCCTTGTCCATGGGCTTCACTGCAAAGCCTAAGCCCTAAAGGCCCTAAACGCTAAACATGCTAAACCCTCAACCTTGAACCCATTGAACCCTCTTGAGCCGTAGCCGCCGTAGCCATTTTGGCAGAACGCAGTGACGAAGTGTCACCCTTCAGTGCTTTCGCCATGAGTGCCGAGAAGCAGATGAAACAGTTCGAGCTCAAGCTGAAGAAGGCGATCGAGCGGGTGAAGTTGGTCTTAGAGGCGGAGAAGACGCCCCAGCTCCCGGCGGATGTTCACCACAGCTATGAGGACAAGTTCAGCCTCTTGGAGCGCGGCAGCTGTCTGGCTCTGGCCTCACTGGCCAATGGTCTTGGGGCGCTGGGAGTTGGCGAGGAAAAGCTGTCTCAGCTGCAGACCTGGGCAGCGAACAACGCCGTGTCCTTGCGGTTCAAGTCAAAGGAGACATGCCAGTTTCTGCGGGAGGTCGCTCGTGATGAGGAATCGCCCACGAAGCATGTGAACGAGGTGCAGTTGGGTGGCGTTGCACTGGGCTTCACCAGCAAGACCGTCACAAAAGTGACTGAATTCTTCTGGAAGTTTGCCGTGTCTTACGAGCTCGAGGCTGTCCGCGGCGTGGGCGCAGAGGATTCGGATCGGCTGACGCTTTGCAGCCACACTGGGCACGTAGAGCTCAAAACAAGCACCAAGTCCTCGCCTCACCCTGAGGCGAAGGCTGCAGACTGCGAAGAAGTGAACATCACCTTTCTGCTAAGGCAGATGGTGGGCTCCCCGCCAACTCCAGCATTCAAGATTGATCGCGTCTCGCCCAAGTGCCGGACCCCACGGCGCAACGCAGAGGTTGATGGCTTCGAAGCTTTTTGCATGAGCTACTTGGTGTGGGCCAATAAGGTCAGCTCATACCTCGAACGGCTTCGGACGCTCCATCCCGGTCGGTCTGCCACCCCTCCCGGCTCCTCCGACATCTTCATCCCGGCACTCCCCCTTTTCATCAAGGGCAGCTCTTCCAAGCCAAGCCCGAGCATCCCGAGCACAGGCAACTCCATGGTGCTTCTGCACAAGAATCCCGAGGAGCCAGCCTCGCCCGTGGTGACAGCGGCGGACGGCAATCGCCTCCTTGGCGAGGAGTCTCGGGCCCTTGGAGAGCTGCGTGCAAACCTGACGGAGGTCTTCCCAGACGATGGCAGCATCTACACATGGACGGAGTCTTTCCGGGCCTCGATTTTACAGCACGGCCAACATGTCCTCACGCAATGGTGCGAGATGGTCGACTATGTCGAGCTCCTGCTCCGCAAGCAGCTGGTGGCAGCCATTGGAAAAGAGGTCCAACCCGCCGAATTCGCTTCTTACATGCAATTCCACTATCGGAAGCTGTTCAGAGATGCCTACCAGCCAACCCCTTGCAGTTTCGCCATCCGGCGTTCGAATAACCATGGGCCTGAAGGCACAATCAGCATTGAAGAGGAGGCCATGGGGCTGCAGGGCGAGAGCAGCATGAAGAGCCCGATTTGCGCCATAACAGCTGCCGGCCGCACCCCATCAACGATGACCTTCCCGCTCAATGCCTCGACGACCATCTCATTTGGAGGAGAGGTCCATCTGCATGCTTGGCTGGACCACCAGTTCTCGGGCGCGAAGGCTTCGAAACTCTCCCTTGTCTCCCGCGCGCGGCAGTTCAGCTCCTTTATGGTGCTGATCGGACGAGTTTCCTCTCCCACATCCTTTGACCCAAAGTACGCAGCACTGGTGCAGAACAAGGATGAGTTGGAGATCCCGCTGGAGCTCTCCACAATCCCAACCCCCAAGGAGTTCAAGGATGCCATCGAGTCCTTATCCCCCGAGCAGCAGGAGTTCGCCAAAGCCTTCCGGGCGATGCAGCTGGAGAGCACGCTCTTCGCCGTCCTGGTCGTGCAGATCAAGCCGCAGCTCGAGGAGCTCCTGAACCTGCCCAAGGACAGCTTGACCAAGGAGATCAAGCTGACGCAGGACTTGATGCAGCTCTTCATCAAGTATCAGATCCCGAGCGACCTGCTCTCCTTCACCAGCGACCTGGCCCCAAACGGCACAAACGGCCGCGCCTCCGCGGCCGACCGGCTCCTGGTGGTGAAGGGGCAGGTCCAGGCAATGCACGACATGATCGAAGCGGAGAAGAAGGCAGAGCTGGAGCAACGAAGGAAGGAGGAGGAGCTTCGGCGCCTCGAGGCGGAGAGAAGACGCCAGGAAGCAGAGGAGCAGCGAAGAGTACTCCAAATGCAGCTCGAGGAAGTGCAAAGACGCGGCGAGCGCCTAGAAAATGTTATGCTCGATTGCGACTTCAGACCATGCAGCGCCTCCTTTTCTTCGACAAAAAGCAGAGGCGGGTCAGGTTTCTTCGGCGGCATGAAACAGGCCTTGTCTGGTGCAGTCCAGTCCATGACACCTTCCACTCCCTCAAAGAAGAAGTACGCGGCGCCAGTTATGGAGGCTAAGGACTCAGCCAGACGATCTTTCAGGTCCGCAGCACCCCCGCCCGTCGTTTCAGCAACAACGGCGGCACCCTCGACAACACCCTCAGTGCCCTCAGCACCGTCAGAGCCGACTCAGCCAGCGTCCCAAAAGGCCCCGGAGCCTCAGCCCTCGGAGCCTCAGCCCTCGGAGCAATCCAAGGAGCAAGCACCCAAGGAGCCCAACAAAGAATCGCAACCCAGCAAGCCAAGACAGCCAGGGCAGCCAGAGTCTGCAAGTGAGCTCGTGGAGGCTCGGGACTACACGCAGGTGCCTAAACAGCTCGATGAGCAGTTTGAAAAGCTGGACCCCGACAGCTCCCTTCGGCCCACCATCATCAACCCGGGCAGCACTTGGTCGAAGCGATCGCAAGCTGCCTTGTTGGCCGCACCCCAGACGACGTCCTTAGCCACAGACCAGCAAAAGCGAGAGAAGGACGCTGCCTTCGACCTCCTGGATGCCCTCACCAAATCCGGTGCCTTGCCACTCAGTCACGCAGAGTTGCACATCATCGTGGCTGCAACCCATTGTTTCGACAAGACGGTCACCGAAACAGTGGTCCAGGACAACATCAATCCAATTGCCAAGGTGGAGCGGTCAAGCCTGATCATGGCTTCCACTGTTCATCAGCAGCCAGCCTCGTGCCTCATGAACGAGTCGAGCCATGCACGGGTCATGGCAGACTCTCCACAGCTTTTTTTGGAGGATGCAACAGAATCTGCAGCCTGACTTTCTTGTCCCACGCTCCTGTGATTGTTTCAACGAGGCTTCCATGCTTAAGGGGGGGCATCATGTAGCTGCAACGGATTCCAACAGGCTTGGGCTAGCAGCTAGAGGGCAGCTAGGGGTCCCGCCAGAGCACGTAATCCACGCACTCATGGTCGCCAGTACCTTCGACGGGGAGCCGACAATGCAGAATCGGCAAATCCTTGGATGATGATTATCTTGAGAGATTGCGCCGCTCTTTTCTCATGCAGAGCTGAGTTCTGCAGTGACTGAAGTGGCAGTTTCCTCAGATGTACAGTCAGGAGAGGAAGCAGAGCAAAATGCCTTGCCGGTTGTGTGCCAGTGTGAGAGTCGAAACCCTAAACCCTATACTCATCTATACTCTGCGAGGCATGCAGTGGCTTCGGCTGCACTGCCTGCCCCACTCGAGCAGCGTCCGGACTGGGTTAGCGGGTGGAGAAGTGGAAATCAAAGCTTCCAGAAGATCTCCTGTTGTGATACGGTTGGGCATGCTCGTTTCCAGCAAAGATTCACTCATTCTGAAGATTGATCAAACCCTAAACCCTAAAGCTTAAGCCCTCAACTTCTCAGCAGGATATCCGCAAGGTGGTCGACAATTCCGTGGTTTTGGCGAAGGCGCGGCTCAACCGTCGAGCTGGATTTTTTGACGGTAGCTTCATTGCTCTTCCAAAAATGGCAAGTGCAGACAGAACCGATGCACAACCGCATGTCGCTCTGGATGTTTCCGATGTTTTGCTCTCCGGACTCATTTGTGGGTTTAAGATATTTGGGGTACCTTATGATTGGGGCCCTTATGTTCAGAGGATCGTACAATTTGGAGGTCTATATTAGGGCCCTTATTTTCGTAAACCCTCTGGGCAGGTCACTCCCTCCTTGCTAGATGACGACTGCGAGGCAGGCGGTCATGCTGCGTGCCCTCGCTGAGTCCACCGAAGGTCATTTTGTAGCCGTTTGTGGCGAAGCCCAGCCCTAAACCTGGGTTAATCGCGACAAACACCACGGGCACGTAACCCGCAGGAGGCCACAGCCACGGATTCGATCCTGGGTGTGGAGGCCGTGCCGTGGCGTAACAGGATAGGACATACAATGACAATGGATGAACGTCTGTATGTAGGGCAGAGTGGGCTTTCAAATTAAGTTCTGATTCAAGGTGTCTGCCACTGAGACGGAGGAGATTGCAGTGTCACGGTAGGCATTTGCAGAGGGTGGCGTGGAGGGGAGGGTGACGGTGCTTGGGGGAAGCTGCTCTACATTCTGTAGATATGCAGGAGCTGGCGCTATCTCGGAAAGCAGCCGTGCTCCTTGCCATGGCCAAGGAGCGGGCACTTCCGCCCCGGCAGCCATGTGCTCTTGGACATGGGTTGAAGTACCGTTGAAGTTGAGGCGCTTGGAGTGAAGCTGGTTTCACAGCTCGTAGACCTGATGAGAGCACGCATGGGGCTGCATTCGGAGGAGCTGACGCAGGAGTCTTCCAAGCGAGACAAGGCGACCTGGTGGAGCGTGCGTCGGGCAGAGAACAGCCAGTCTTTGTTGAAAGTTCTGGTAGCATTGTAGACATGATGGTGAGGCAAAGCGCCGTGCCGATTGCCATTTCATGGTCAGAGAGAGATTTCCGGAAGCTTTCACTTGTGACATGTTTGGATCATCCAAGACCTGCTGCCGAGGGAAGCTCCGAACCGAAGTTTAAAGCGGGACTTGTGGCGGCAATCCAGGCCGTCATTGTACACACCACGAAGCCTCCGGATTGCTAACTTGTCAGCAGGGGCTTTGAGGCATGAGAACATGTCAGGAATCTTTGAGGTG